GGAAAAACGCCGAGAATCGGCATTTTTGCCGATTCTCGCTTCAACTTGACGCCAAAGTTACGGTCGATAACTGTCTTGGCCAAGACGCTACCGTCAGGCCTTCCTCTTCGAGGTGACCGGTATACCGACCGCGCGCTGCCGCCAGCGACTCCCGACGTAAAATCATCCTGATGCCGCGAACCTATCGTCGAAATGCAAAGATTCCCTGTGAGGGGCTTTTGCCGCTACCAGAACTTCCTGGCCGAATCGAACAGACCTTGATTATGCAGCGAAACCGAAACCAACAGCTAGGCCATCTCGAAATGATACCAGAACTTGTATTTAGCACGCGTGCAGCCCGATATCTCTTTGACCCGCATATCAAAATGAAGCGTGACTACGATTCACCAACCTCGTCCAAGTCAAGTGACGATATGCATTTGAACGGTTCGCCGTTTGCCTTCGGCCCGCGGACATCGCCTCTGAGGGAACGACCCGCAGCCTCATCACCGATCCAGTGGATCCGCCGAAATATGTGCCCAGATGCCGCTTCGTGTACCTAGCTGTGCCACTTAAGAGGCGAAATCTGCATCCTTTGCTTTGCAAGCGCCCCTATAGTTCGTTCGGCGTCCGTCTCAGTTGTGTTTGCGCGAAACAGCATACGTTTGCTCGAAGCTTATGGCTGTCTGCGAGTAATATTCTGCTAAAAGGCGGGACTTTTTCTGCACGTGCTTGGGAACTGCATTAAAATAACCGTATTTCAGTAGGGTACTGCCTAGGAGACTATATAATTGGAAACAAAATACAAGACACCCGTCCACCAACGCTTGTTATCCCCACCATCCGACAAACCTTTGCGTTTTGTGACGTCACGCAGCACCTACGGATGTCAGCCATTGACACTGCCGAAATTCGGGGTGCAGTTTCGTACATAGGCTCATGAAAGGTTTAATTAATAACGGGTGATCACATACCAAAATAAAAATGACGTTTGTCTATATGAAGGTTCCCTCGATGCAACGAGCGCAACAACTTAGGTACTTCCTGTTTCGACCGGACAATCCCTTTAACACTCTCAAGAAAAAATGGTGTATCGTTACACCCTTTGTCCCATAAAATACAACCCAAAATTTCAATTCGATTTACAGCGCCCTACAGTCGCACAGACGGCCCGAAATTTTACGAGGGGCCTGATAGCCGTGTGGTACAACATTTTAAATAGCTAAAGTACGTATCAAAGACCACATAATGAAAACACCGAGTTTTTACACTAGGGCCAAAAAAACCTCGATTATTTCTTTGTGGTCAGTAAAACGTACATTAGCTATATTAATAAGTTGTACCACACGGCTATCAAGCCCCTCGTAAAATTTCGGGCCGTCTGTTTGACTGTAGGGCGCTGTACGGTGAATTGAAGTTTTGGGGGGTGTTATATGGGACAAAGGGTGTAACGTTACACCCTTTGACACCCTTTTTTCTTGAGAGTGAACTGTCCCATGGAGCGAGCTGACGTCATCAGTTTGAAGCGCGAAAACGGCACCTGGTTTCCACGATCGCCTTCGGTTCCATTGGCTGGCGCGCGTCAACGGGGCTCCCATTGGCCGCTGCGCTCGTCGGTTTCCACGACCGCTCACCCCGTGGTGCTGCGTGTCAATCAGCGCGCCGTTAACACGGAGCGTCCGAGGTCACTATTGGAGCACACGCGTTGACCGGTGACGAAAAGTACGCAGTAGACGAAACAAGGGAGCGGACGAGCGGCTTGCGTGCTTTCGCATTCACAACTCGTAAGACGTGCTTAGGTGTACCTCGAGCTTTCTTTTTTGGAATAGCTTTGAGCATGCACTACAAAAAGAAGCGACTTGTGCAGCTACGTTAGAGCTATTGTATCAGAGCCTTCTGTCGATTAAAGATTTGACAAGATTTGACAACTCAATTACGATTAAATAAAGTTTGCAAGAGTTTTGAAATATTAGGAATTTGTGGTGATTAAAGGTTTTAGATTTTTCACCTCACTTGAGCGGATTTATTGGTACAAATCACGTAACCACGGTCACGCCGTCCGTGACAACACCTCAAATTCAATCTAAGTCTTTTGTCGAAATTCGTTACCCATTTCATAAACGACAAAATGCACGTTCGAAATTCCATACCCCCCTCTCCCGAATAGTTCCGATGCCAAAGGAAAGGGGAAAAAATATGTTTCTGGCTGTGCCGTTGATGCGTTACTCAACAATCGTTTTCAGGCTATCTGATCAAAGATGTGAGCGCTGTGTACACGCCCCTGAACGTTGCTCCGGAGTACAGCCATGTACTTCGTGATCGATTGACCGTTTCCACTTCATAATTTTCCTCGGACCCCTTTCACAAACACGCAAAATGGCGACGAGTTCCAGTAGCCACTATAATAGCCTGGCCGTCCAGTGAGGCCAGGTATATAGTTATCTCCAGGGTTCCGTGTTTTCGGTATATACCGCATAACTCAGAAAAATAAACCCCATGCCCGTTTTGTCCAAAATAAGAAAAAAAACCACAAGCTTGAATTGGAGTGCTCTTTGCATAAAAAAAAAGCACAAGTTTCGTGGAAAGCAATCTTCACCTACACCTTTATTTGGGTGCTTATTCGACGTACAGACAGTAACTACTATGCAGGAGGCTGCTACTTTCTTCAGGAACCATATTGCTTCCTTCGATTGGTACTGGAACGCTCCCCTAGTCTTCAGGTTATGCGCATGTTCCTTCGAAGTTCCTAAATGGCTTCTGGTCAAAATGTCCATCCAGACGCAATGTCCATCGGGTCAAAATTCCCAACAGGTCACGTGAGACGCGTGTCAAAATGCCCATCGAGGCGAAGTGTCCAATCGGGTCGAAATGTCCACCAAGTCAAAATGTCCATTAAGACAAAACGTCCGATAGGGTCAAAATGTCCACCGTCAAGGTATCCATCGGGTTGATATGTCCACAAAGTCAAATGCTCCTGGGGTTCTTTCGTGTTATTATTTCCAAGTTCTGAAAAAGTACAAGAAAATATATTACCTTGGAACCCAAAAAACAAAAGTGGCTGAGAGCTCCGAAATCACAAAGTGTGCGAAAAATAAAGTGCTCTTTGAAACTTTATCTTTACAGGTACACGTCCATGTCACCCTTTTATCGGTATTTGACCAGCTGATCCAGTGACGAAGTGTCATATGACGAATTCTTCCATGTTCCCAACAGTCCTGCTACGAGTTGCCTTTTTAAAGGGATACTTCAACAAAATTTGAAATATAACCGTCGTGTTCAGAAATAGGTTGAATATGATCCACAATTTCCGTAAATGAAAATCGCACGTTTCTATTTTGAGCCTGATGGCTGTATTTTTCGTTATAAACGGCCCACTCTGGCAAGCGCTCGGACAGCAGCCAGCGGGAGCACGTCACATCCGGCGCAATTGTGACGTACTTTGTCTCGGGATGAGCAAACCCGAGGCGAGGCTGACGTCGTCAGGATGCCCTAGCCGTTTCAGCCACCGAAGCGGTCGAAGCACACCAGCGATCGGACCACCGCAACTAACCGCAAAGCTGCTTTTGTGTGTATTTTGAGTGACGGTTTAATCTTCTATAATCTTGTTGAGGGAGAGTAACGACGTCTGGGACACACAGAAGAGAGTCCCGTTGAGTGGGGACCCTCCCTATCCTCTTGTGCTGGCCGTAGAGCTGTCGGGATTAGGGTGCCTTCATGTGCGCTTCGCATAGAGTGATGCCAACTGCCTGTTTCCCTTTCCCACGCCCTCTTCCACCGCCATTTTGTTACTCTCATTGTTTCCCCGTGCGCCGGAAAGTGGCCTTTGTGTACATGGGCCCTCCCATCCAAGGGGGAAAATGCTAATCCTCCCACCGTGGGTTCCACAGCGCTGCTCCGAACTTGTGAGATAAGGTGCTTGTTTCCGGGAGGGTTATAAAGCCCCACGGATTATCGCCGAGAACCAAAATGACTGCTGGTTTGTCGGCGAGTGGTATTACAAAGGGTGGCATCACCCTAGCAAAGCGCACATGAAGGCTCCCTAGTCGGGATGATATCAGGTTCAAAGCACATGACGTCATTTCTGATGACCTCCAGAGAAAAGGGGAAGGAGCTCCCCTCTAATCAAGCTCCTTCTTTGTGCCTCCCGGAATTGCACAGGCGTCGCTATTCTCCTCTCAGAAGATTATAGAAGATTTACCTGTCTCAAAATTCTTACAAAAGCAGCTTCCCTCTCCTCCTTTTACATGGTGTTCAAAAGTATGCGATGTGACGTCAGTGCAAGGAGCCTATAGTTAACGTCACTGCCTGTCAAGGTTCTTAGACGGGCATTAGAAACGAGGCTTTAGCGACATCCACCAGGTGCTCTTTGCTAATCGCTTAATTCGTTTTAAAATTCCTTTTCGTATCTCTTCTAACAAGATATTGGTGTGTCCGATATAATACTGCTTTTTTGAACATGTATAGACCAAAAAAAGAAGCACAGAAATTTTGTTGTAGTATCCCTTTAAGAATAGTCTTTCAACAAACGCCCCGCCTCCTCCGTTCCACCGAGTGTGAAGGAGGTTCAGTTTAATGTTTATTTCACCCTGTTTTGTCCGAGGACCTTGTGGTGTGGTGAAGTGTAACGTTACTAGAGGCAACAATGTGTTATTTTTTCTGGTGCTCTATGTTAAGTTTCTATTACAAGCGCCGTCATGTGCAGCTCGTTCACTTTCAGACGAAGCTAGCACATTAATGCTCCAAATTTCAAAATTCGTAGAGGGACGAGAAATTTGTTACCCGTCATTTGGAGCCAGGAAAGTAATTTGGAGTTCGGTCTATTTTCATATTACAGCGGAGCTGTTGAGCGCTAGTTTCCCCAGTTTCATGTCCGGTACCAAACAAATGTCGACACGAGACTACACGAAACGCTGGACAGCTACCGCCATCTATAAGCGACGGCGGCAACCAGACGAACAAACTGGTTGCCGCCGTCTCTGGTAGATGGCGGCAACCTCTCCAGCCTTTCCGTCAAGGTGCGCGATGGTCCGGTGGTCGCCGTCATGTACATCCCCCACCCCCCACGACATTCAAGAGAGTCATTGAAGCATTCATGATGGACGTCTTCGGCTGGGTCGTGCTCGGCGACGACACGTCTGCCGTAGTGACGGGTGACGTTAACGTTGACATTGCACGCCAGGAGGGAAAGTAGTTAACGCCGTTTATGCTCGAGCATTTCGGGCATGCGTGTGTGAATGAACCTACGGTGCCCACGACCAGGAGTCGGACATGTCTGCACGAAGAACGTGCCTGCCGTCAGCGTACTTAGGCTAGGTGGCGCAAGCTACCGCCCTTTACAAAAGGTATAGCCGTTAACGTTCGTCCACCCATCCGTTCGCAAAATGGCGTCCCTCACATCGAAGGCGTGCAGTTTTGGCTACAGATGTAAGGTTTTACTGCGGAATTCCTCACTGAAAAGTAAATCTCATGTTATCAGGACATGCAGTACTGCTGGTGGGCATGGTAAGCTTGGAAACCTTAATTTCACTTCAGCAATTGTGTGTCTACAGCCGTTTTGCGAACCTGTTGCTGCATCGGCCTCATCAACCGCTTTCGAGCACTTAGCTTTTTCTTATTTATTCTCAGGAGGCCTTCCAGATCCGTACAAGAGTGCGGAAAAGATGGACATCGAGGAGTTGTTTATCAGCAGGAAGGTTCAGGGTTTTCTAAAGAAGCTGACGGGTTTCGATTTGGAGAAGATCTACGCACCGGTCCAGACACGTCTGAACGTCCCGAGGTACGAATTCCTCACGGACGAGCAACTTGAGAAGGCAAGTAAACGCTCCAAGAGGTATATGAGAAGTCTGCTCGTTTTGTAAGGGAACTTGAAAGGGGGCGCGAAAAGCATTCAGCTGTCCGCAGAGAGCGCCGCTGAAAAGGGAAGCACCGACGCTTTCGCATGAGGAGCCGAATCGTTTCGTCGAATCAAGGCCTGACCAAACAGAAATCGTGAGACGACACAACTCCCGCAAAAAATGTAAAAGTTGAAGCGTCCGGCAGTGCTATGTCTGTTTGAATACCGCCAAGCCGAAATCACGATTTTTTTCCGCATTTTGGTGACCTCGGTGCTCGTCAGACTTGACATCACACGCCACCTGCCATTGCTGACTATTTGTTCTGCTGGGCCCTCGTATCATTGGACTTGAAATTTCCTCCGTCTTACTCCAGAGTGAGGGTTTGTACCCTTGCGTTCGAAAACATACCCGCGTCTAACGTCGCTCTGTGTTATCACGTGAAATGACCCGCCGGAGTGGCACGGATCTATTTGGGTAAGATTTCGAACACAGCCCTTCCCGTTTTCGGGACCTGGAGAGAAGCGGAGGCCTTGAGCGACTGACCGACAGCCAACAGAGCCTTTGAGTGGCTGTCCGGACCCTTGTGATGAGCATCATCAAGACCCCCGTGGAGAATACGGGTGAAATTTGACGGGGGGGGAACTTTCTTCTGGCCAAAAAAATGGACAAAAGCGGACCGCCGCACGACTTATGTCGGAGGCATGCCGCCTCACGATTCCTGTTTGGACAGGCCTTCACGTTCCATGGAAACACGTTTCGTGGATAACTTGTCATGGAAACTAGGGGTGTCGCGAACTTTTGTCGAACCGGATTTTTTGGTCGAACTTTCGGGGTTCGACGAACCTTCGAACCTTTCACCAGATTCGACTGGTTCGACTTTGTGTACAGTGTGGCCATACCTTAATACAAGCATGTCTAGGTTTGGAAAAAAAATTTTTATGCAAAGAGTTATTTTATTTTATGAACAATCGCAATTAAAAGAAACCAATTCTAATCACTGAAAAAGTTAATAACTTTAATTTTTTATACTGTATTAACTAAAATAACTAATCAGCGCTGCCCTTCATTCATCCCTTAGCCATCACCATCCAATCCGAAGCCAACTGGCCAGTTTGTCGCGCATGCGCACACGAGTCGAACAGCAATACAAGGTTCGTCGAAATTTTCACTAAAAGTTCGAAAAAGTCGAACCCGGTCGAACTCGAACCTCAGCCGGTTCGCGACACCCCTAATGGAAACACGTTAATGGACAAATGTTTTGTGAACACTGCATGTTTTGGGGAATTTCATGAACACTTGCATCTGCAACATTTTGTCAACAACTTTTTTTTTTTTTAGTGGATTCTATTGTTGGCTTTATTTCGTTCGCTGGAAGCATACAGAACTAAAGTGGACTTATCCAGGCGCTTTGGATAAGGCAACAGCAAATTCGCGAGCCCTAATTCCTACGCTTCTTTTTTTTAAGATAAGTTTATTTGATTACAGAAAAAACTCTCATACAATCCTGCCCGCTTAAGCGTAGGTACGCTTGTATGCGGGACGCGGCAGTACAGTCAAACAATCGGCGCTGTGCGTAGTCATTCCTCATTCCACTCGAAGAAACTAATAGTATCAGGGTGTCTAGCAACCAGGAAACCCAGGAATTGTCAGGGAAATTTTTATTACGGGAAAAATCAGGGAATTGTCAGGGATATTGTCAATAAGCGAGCCCAGTCAGGGAAAATGAGCTGCAAATGCCATCGGGTGCCCTGAGCAAAGGCTTGAGGACTTGGGGGCAGAAAAATAGGCAATAAATTCTGCTTAAAGTGAAGTGCGGGCTCTGCTCACCCGGTGTAGAGTGTACTATCCGATGCAAAGGAAACAGCCAACAAATCCAGTCCAAGCTTTAGATCGAATTGGATTGAGGGCGTGACGCTAGGCTAGATGCAGTTAAAGCTTCTAGATAAGTAACAAACAGGAAAGCCGCAGACCCCAATCCAATCCAAGCCTTAAGCCAAAAGTATTTGAAAGCGTGCATCTGGCGGCCGTGCTGCCATTCAGTTATGGTTTCCACGTCTCTTGGGGTTTGGGCAAGGCAGCGGGCACGGAGAGAGTAACTAAATATTGGTGCGTCATATTTGAACCGGACAACGCGGAAACCTTCTGCACCTACGGGGGCGACCCGCAGTGCCAAAAGCGCGCAAAATGTGACGTTTTTGGTCCTGGGCTTACTACTGGTCAGAGCCGCTAAAAGCTTCTTTTTAGTCGAAATACACAATATGAGTGGTGTGAACCGTTTCAATTACTTATAAAAGTAGTTTTTGTTCAGTATTTTAGATCAGAAAATTAACAAATGCAGTTTATAAAGTATGGAAACAAAAAATTACCCGTTGACATTCCCGCCACCAAGCGGTGGAAAAGGCGGCGCATACTAGCAAGATGTAGTGGGATCAGGCACCGACGAACGGCGAGCGTAGAAGGGTCCCGGATGTACACGGTGGCGCTGCGGTCGTATGGACTGGAGAATCCAACCGGTTCCAAGCGTTCCCAAGGCCTTTGGCGAACAGCTTTGGCTTGCGGTTTGGCCGTTTGGCGGTATGGCAGCATGAAGTGGCCCCGTTCTGAACTGACCTTTACCCCGTGTTTGCTGTCGTTTGTGGCCAATGAAGTGTCAGGCCGAATTAGTGTTTAATTGCGCAGCAAATGCAATGCGAGCCGCCCTGGCTGCCCCCTTCATAGAGCCTTGCCAGAACATGCTTTAGTGGTGCCCTCTCGAGCCGTTGACACAGAGTGCGGTAGCCGTGACTGCTCGCTCCCCAAGGGGGTAGTGAGTTCAGCTACCTCAAGCAACTGAGGGCGTCATGAAGGAGGTTATTTTTTGCTTGTTTTTGTAATTTTAATTTGCCTATAACTTTTAAAATAAAGCGAAATTCGAGAAAAGAAAAGCTTCATTAAGTTAATACATTCGGTACGCTCAGATTCTGTGCAAATTAATAACCAGCAAAAAAATCCTTGCAGGGCCCCTTTAATACGGACTAGCCGAACCCGAATATTTTGGAACATGCAAGTTGGATTAAGCCCATGCAAAATTATCCTCACAGTGCTTAATGCTTCATGCTTTCTGTTGTAATGGTCTTATATATTTAACCACCTCTACAGTGGTCGGGGAATTTCACCTGAAATTGTCAGGGAAAACCTGGAAAAGCCAGGAAATTTCAAAATAATAATTTGCTAGACACCCTGATTATAATCTCGAGCCCGCGCTTGCGCCACTCCTCGTCGGAACCACCGAGAGGTCGGCAAAGTAGGCTACCATCTGGACGTTGGCGACCAAGGCGATGCGCATGAAAAGACGCTTTCGACAATATATCGCTAAACGCGTCGATGAAACGATCCTGGGGACCTTTCGATGAAACAAACTTTCAATGAAACGTCGCAGTGTCGGCAATACGAATCGTCATTGAAACTTGGTTGAACGAACTGATTGCCACCATTAGCACGGTTGTATGTGCCTTGCATGTCGTGTCAAGTGTCACCATACCGGCGACCATTGCTCCGTACCATGCTTCCATGCCCGTACCTTCTGCAACATATATTTGGCACCATTGAATTTTCGAGAACAAATTGGATGGTGCCAAATGTATGCTGCAGAAAGTATGGGCATGGCAGCATGGTATGGAGCAATGGTGGCTGATGGGACGTTGACGCAAGCTGCATATAATCACTGACGGCTTGAGAAACGTGGGGCATGGCGAGTCCCGAGCATCTGATTATCGCAGCCAATCAGATTGCGGCATTCGCATAATTAAGCGTGAGCATATTGAGCTATACCCTGTGTTTCTTAAGCGGTCGATGACAATAGCCCTAGAGGTACATGTAGGAGGAGAATTTCCGCCTCTACTCAAAACCTAACTTTGGTGCCTAGTCAAACCTCGCGGCCCGAGCACAAGCACAGTGCGAAAGACTAGTACCTAGTCCAGTGTGTTCCTCGGTTAATCACAAAGACGCGTTATTCGTGCTTTGAATAGGCAAGTAATTGCTATGCAAAATGTTTCTTCAGTTTCTTTTTAGGAGATTTTCTCCAGTGAAGTTCAGCTACGCTTTTGCCGTATTTTACCTCCGCCAGCTCACTTTCACCCTTTCATTGTATCTGTGGAACTGCTTTACTGAGGCGTTGGATAATTTTCCGTAACATCCAAAATAGGCTTTGGAAGTGCACCAAAACGTGTCTTGTGCGTAAGAATGTGAACGTGAGCCGCCAAAAGCCATTTACGCCAGTCACCGGGCTACGTAATAAATGTGCGGAGTCCGTGCGCTGGGAGAGCGAGCAGCATCATTGGCTGAGGAGAAAGAGAAGCTTAATGTGCATAAATAACTCATTCGTGCACCATTCAGGAAGCTCCGCGTTCCCTCTTCACGCTTGGCACGCATTGCAGGCCAGGTGCTACGCCTTTGATGCTCGAAATGACGCGAATCACCGATCCAAATTTTCCGATAGCATCATGTTCGCAAATATTCACAGCCCATTGTCACTAATAATGCCACTTCCAGGTGAAAATGCAAAGTTTCTGCAATTCTTGCTTCTGCTTACACTACGCGTGAAGTCCCAAGTTTGCATCTCGAAACTGCTCGGAAGCAGCGTTAGTCGCAGTCAGGTACACTAGCGTGCCTGCAGACACGGTAGTAGTACGTCCTAAAATAGCGGGAGGGTCAAGGATGTCCCCGGCTTGCTGATGTGCTATGTGTGGATGTACGACATACAAACCTAAAAAACGACAGTGACGCCACTTTCCGCGACCCCCTCCAGTCAGGCATCCACTTCGACAGTGGCACGCAGTGGCGGGCGAGAGGACTTTTACCGCCGCTTAAGTTGCATTTATTACGGTCCACTAGCGTGCGCTAGGTCGTGTTGCACTCTTATGTCTGTTTCTCATGAAGCTTGGTGCTTGAGATGCTCGATGTGCCGGCAGCGACGTAACAAATCCGACGTACAATTACACGGCGGTGATGCTTTCTTTGTTTCCCACATACGCGGTCTTGTAGCATCGGACAGGAATCTGGGCTCGGTTGCAAAGATCCCCACCTTCAGAATGCCCTCGCTTGCCCCTGCAGAAGTATGAGGAGGCACACCAGAAAGCACGCCGGAAACTCCAGATGCCACCGGTGCTGCGGGAGCGGCGGCCGTGCGAGGAGGTCCTTGCCAAGGACCCAGAGATCCAGGGCCACGACGACAGCACCTTCATCTTTACGGACATCTCATACGGATACCCCGACAGGGTGAGGGAGGACCGCCGAAATGGCATACTGGATGACGTGCCAGGACGGATTGCTTACCTGGCTCCGAAAGCAGTTTGTTACAATTAGAATTCCTACCACTCAAAAGGTGGTTCTTTGCGATTTTAGAAAGAAGTGCAATCACCTCGCAACTACTTTCGCTACATCTTTGTGTGTCATTGATCGGACGGCATTTTTCTGCGACAAAGCGCAGTATTCGTTTTGCTTGCGTCGTCGTTTGACGATTCACCGTGCAGCTTTTCTTACATTTCTCACACTGTGTGGCTTCATTCTATAAAGTTTATTAGTCATACTGCAGGAAGCCGGCACGGAACTGTAACGAACTTGGGACAAACAGTGGATGAAAACTTAGACGAAACATGCAGCATGTGCGCCTCATTTACCCGTGGTGATCCGTGGGATGCGAGCATAAACTTTGATTTATAGCTGCGCGTAGGATATCCCATTAAGCGTCGGGAAGCGTGCGCACCACTCACGCTGCATCCTCTCTTTGTGTTTTCCAGGAGCGCATTGTGGCGGTGCGAGAGCCCAACGGCCTGCTGCGGACGGCCAGCTGGGAGGAGCGGGAGCGGATGCTGCAGTCCTACTTCACCAGCAAGGACAAGTCCTTCTACATGCCCAAGATGTTTGAGCCAAACCACCTGCAGGCGAGTCCCTTCCACGGCCCCCGTCCACTCGCGTTGGGGCCCCGGCATAAACTTGGAAGGTGGGAAGAGGCAGGTTCCATCTCCCGGAGTAATAGCGTCGGCAAGCCGGTCTGTTAGGAATACCCGGGGGAAGTAGAACTACAAAGGTCGCAGGACCTTGCTGCGTCCCGTCAACGAACTGCCGCACTTAGACGTTCTCTTCCATCATTCAAAATTGTTGTAGTGTCACGCATTATTTGCGTGACATTACGTTACCTGATGTCACGTTAAAAGAAAATGACAAATTTTGCCGCTAAATTTGGCAGATGGCTACGGTCTTTCACGAACCGCACCCAGGGATCCACCGCCAAACCTCACCAATAACGGCTGTCAATGTAAGACGCAGAGGCACAGAAGTCTCGATTTGGAGACTCTTTTGTTTTCTTCTCCAAAGAGAAAGGTGATTTTTTTTTTTTTGCATCACCATTTGTGGTTTCTAAAGAGTGTTCAGTTCAGAAGTCTGCCAGAAATGGAAGCTCGTTTGTCTCAATATGTTTTTGACACACATCACATTTTTCTTTTAACGTATTAAGGGAACATGCTACGCGGAGACAGATTTTTTTTCATTTTTGCCCGAAAACAATAAAACTTCAGATATTCAGAGTTTTGCCTGCTCTTTTCAAAACAGTAATCAGTTTTAATGTGGATTATAGTTTTTGTTTAGTGCCCCACCCAATGACAGAAAAAAGAACAGTCGCCGACCGATTATTCGGACTTCGCTGGGACCGAAAAAACGTCCGAATAATAGAGCAGTCCAAAAAATGAGCAGATTGAAAAACTTGCCTTTATTACGTCCAAGTGGGCTTAAAAAAGCCGTAAATAATGCCTTGTTTTAGGTTATGCCTCCGTTTCCGTTCAGCAACTTTCTGTTAGCTTGAGAATCGCTGCCTTCTTTTCTAGCGTTACGGTCGAGTAGCAGAACAACAGATGGGGCCATGACGTCCAAGCCAGCGTTGTCCGAACGCAAATCCACGAGCGCAAAATGGCGACTGGCGACGCGAAGGAATGCAAAAAAAAGAAAAATGATAATAATGATGATGATGATGACATGCAGCTAAATGGGGAAAAAAGGGGAAAAAGGGTTAGCGTAGCGTCACCTAGTGGTAGGACTCAGGAGTGCTCAAGTAGCGCTGCCAAACCAAGCCAATCCATTGGCAGCCAACATAGAATTCAAAATAGCCGCTTCTCGACGGTGTTTTCCGCTGATCGCTCGCGACGATCTTGTCCGAATAATCGAACTTTCGAACGTTAAGCTGTCCGAAACATTGGTTGTGAATATACACTATTTCTATGGGGTAAGTCACGGTTCCGCCTTTAGGTCCGAAATATCGAACAAGTCAGAATTATCGGAGTCCGAAAAAACGGTCGGCGACTGTATTTTTCATGTGCACGGTCCGACATACTAGTTGTTTACAAAGAGCATCGGGCAATAGCTCATTTAGCTCTTTATAAAGTGTAGATTGCAAATGACTAGTCAAAAGCTGCACATTACTTTCCAATCTTGAAATAAAAATATCTCGCGATACTTCCATTCTAGAAGCCCATTACAAGTTTTTTCAAGTTTCTATAGATATAATTGAGATATTGCATTTTCAAATACATACTAGCACTCTACATATACCCAAGATCATAGGTGAAAAATTTCTTGGTGATGCGAAGATTCTAAGTGCCAAAAACGAAGCCCACAAACTGTGAAGATTGCCCTAAATTGCGAGAGAAAAATGCAGTTGGAAGTTCAAAAGATGTATTCCCATCGAAGAGCAACAGTAATTACGCGAAATTTGGCTGGAATTTCATCAGGGTGTCTAGAAAGAATGCGCAGTGGCTAAAAGTCTCCCGCACTGTATGAATCTAAGGTCTTGTAGTGCATGGGCGTCGGCAGGCCGAGAATAGCACAGAAGCATGAAAGTAGGTCATGTCCTGCATCTATCGCACGCGTGGCCAATACAGCCTTCACATGGACTGCAAAACCATCGCGCAAGCTCCCACTGTCGCGGCGTCCGTTTCCGCTTCCGGCTCCACCGGGAGTAACACGTTTCGACGTAAACGTAGAGGAAAGAACCGATGCGGGGCACTTGCTGTTTTCACGGTGCAGTGCAAGGAACGGTGCAAGTCCCTTACACTTCCTCGCCGACTTCCGGACGGAGAGTTCGCCCTTGTGACAAGCGGGGCGGCTCACACCTCTCACAAGTGTCTTCAGCGCACCAATCTCACACACCACCGCACTCGCAGAGCCATTGCCACTTCTCCCTTCGTTTCCGAAGAACCCGATTTTGTTATTTTGTTTTTTGAAGCACTGACAAACCTGAATGCAGCATCAATTAGGTGGGTCTCTGTGGAATTGTTGAGACAGTCACCGTTGCTGGGGTTAGGCTTTTCGGGCATTGGTAAACTTTGTGCCCCCTGGCGTTCTTCGCTCGAGTTTATGCCGCCTTCCTTTGAACTTGTACTCGCTATGGAACTTTTGAACAGTAAAATTGTGCTTTCTAGAGTTGTCCGTCGCTAATACAGTCGGAAAAACATAGAAACGCCGTGGTTCTTATTTGCGCCGTAGGGACGCGAGAGCAACACGTAGGCTTTGCTTCTATCATGCAAGCTGCTCAACCAAAGGCAGTCGCAAAAACGCACAGTTTATTATTATTGGTTGAGGAAATACGAAACTGACGGATGTTCCGCCAGCGAGAGGAAGGTTGTGACTACCCTCCCAAACAATAGCAATGGTGGGCGGCGCCGCTGTTGTGAGTTGGAGCCGCTCAAAGATGGGCAAGATTCGGGAAATTTTGCGATTTCTCGGCCTGCCACGAATTGGTCAGACGAATTTTTCATAATCTTTTCGTGCAAATATTGTTTTGATTTTTTGCACAACATGCACAAAGAAAAAATTAAAATTTTTGGGGAAAAGTTGGTTTTTGGATTTGCATGTTTTGAGTTGTGTAACGAGAATATTGAGATTTGTCCGTCGCTTCTTTTAACTGCAGTGGGCTTCCTACGGCTCTGTTTTTGTCGCATCTAGAGTATGGGGGGAGCTTTCGCGGATGCACTGTGGTGGGTGACGGGTGAAGAGTTTGGCTCCCCCCACCTCCTTCCCCTTTAGCTGAGACTCCAGCGTTCGCTCTTCTAAAGCAGAAAAAGCTTCCCTCAAACTCTTAAACTGTCACCGACTACAGGGGGACGCTTCAGAGAGGATCTGTAACCTGGGTGCTGCGTGATGCCATTGCAGGACGTCCTGGACAGGCAGTGGTACGGCTTCGTCCTGGACAGGGCCTGCATCCAGTTCGAGCCAGACGATCCAAACTACATCAGGGTACGTTCCGCATTCGGGAGCACAATGCTCCAAACTGTGAGTGTTCACATTGGTGGTCCCTAGAATGAGAAAGAGCAACGAAGAGCAGAGGGAGAAAGTAGGCTATAGGTCAGGCGCGTTCGTTTTGCTGCAACGCGTTGAAGTTGTAAGTGTGCTAGTAAACTTTATTTTTATGCAGCGCGTGACGTTTTTCTTTTTGCGCAAAATAGAGCTAGCAAAAGCACTGGATACAGACCTTAACAGTTATGTTTTCTCTCTTGTTTTGCGTATATCAAAGTGTTGCCAGCATTATGAGTCCATCGGGACCTCCGACGTGTCCCACCATTTTGAAGCGGCCAAACTGCACGGAACCCTGTCCTTTAGATTGCTATATTAACTCTACGGTTCCCATTTGGGGATTTGCCGGGAGGACTTAGAAATGATGCAACTCTGTCTCCCAGGGGCAACCCCTTCGCTTTCAAGCTCGGCGATCCTGTGGTACGAGAATTGTCGAAAAGAAACGTAATATATCGGACATTAAAAGTCGTTACCGCACTCGGTGAGTGAAATGAGCAATGAGCGGTCAATGTCACCTCGCTTTTAACTGAGGGACCGCCAATATACGACTCATTAAGACGAATTGCGACTCGTGCATGCCCACGGAGAATAATAGCATGAAAAGGACAAAACACGGGCACATAAAAGGTGTAGCCTGTCCTTTTTCTAACAAAGAGCCAACATGCTCGTTTGGTCGGTTACATAACGGTTGGGTTGCTTACCAAATACTTTCCCGAGAATGGTGCCTGGAACGTGGCTTTGACGCACGTTTACTGCGTCCAAACAAGTCGTTTCTCAATGGGCCCCGTGATGTCACAGCCGCTGTCACAACAGCAGTGGTGAACCAGTTTGGATGCAAATTGGACGCTAAACACATCGGTTGGAGACGTCTTCAAGGCAGCTTAGTTTATTCCCTAAAAACCGGAAAAGGTTATTGCGAGCCTTCCTTATTTCCGGGTTCAAGAGGATCTTACAACTGGCGGTTTCCTTCAGGTGACGCACGCGACCTACGACCACATTGACAGCCAGCGGAAGTTCCACGACCTGCGCTCGACGCGCCACTTCGGGCCAATGGCTTTCTACCTGGTCGTGGTGCGAAGGATCGACAACCTGCTCATCGACACCCTGCAGAGGGACATGTGAGTGCCACCACTTTCTCCGAGGTTTTTTTCTCTACTTGGAGCATTTTAAACGCCTCGTGGTCCAAAGGTGAACGGTCATGTAGGCAGCGGGAGAGTTGGAAACTGGAGCTGTGTGAATTGGGAAATTTCAACTCGAATCAAATTCAAAGTGTCAAATAGTGGCCGAAAATTCTAATACGAACATTAAAAGCTTTTTTTGCAAAATCAAACAAAAATCACAGGGATGAGAAAGAAGCCCATCCTTGTAAGACATGGAAAACAAAGAGAGGCTAGCACAAATAAGAAGGGTGTTAGGCTACAAACTTAAAGGGTGGAATTCAGTATTGTCTTTTTTGGCACAAACTTGGTCTATGCACTCTAAACATCCTTTAAAATTCAAAATTACCATCACGAGCAGTCTGGAAAAAATGTGTTGTGTGTTTGGTCGCGTTTCTAAGTGTGAAAAAGCAGTGTTGGGTAAAGTACATCTAAAAGGTATTTCAAGTAAAGTGCAAAGTGAATGAGAAGTGATGTACTTCAAGTAAAGTAGTAAGTACATTGGGTGCAATCTACTTGAAGTAAAGTACTATAAATACAATGTACTTTCAAAGTGCCAGTATTTAACACAATCTTTCATGATGTCCTTTAATTCCCCTATACAGTGATTTTTTAACTTGTATGCATTGCCCAGGGGTAATAAGGGGTGTAATACCTATTTTCAAAAAACAGCGACAAATATTTGATAAAGTCAAGTGGCCACAGAGTTGTTATTCTCTGGAATGGAGCCAAATACAGAAGTCCGTCTTTTGAGTTTGACGCCCCTTGCACTGGATTGTTGCACCCAAGCGGGTTAAATGTACTACTAGGAGAGAGCATGACGTCAGCCCCGTAGCTTCTGCAAGCAATCCTCATAAAGGAGTGTCCTCTCCTTATTGAAACAAACAGTGAGTATGCAAGCGAGCTGGCGATAATTAATCATAATGTGACACCTGTGATTGAGGTGCAAAAAAATAAAAGAACTTTCAAATCGAAGGAAAAGACAAAAGAGAATGTGAAAATATTGAGACGTTCTCCTCTGTTGTCTTTTTCTTCGACCTGAATGTGTAATTTTCCCACACCACAGTCTCAGTTGCTTCATTATAATTAATTTTGCTCTCCTGATATTCTAAACCTCCTCGCTTGCGCTAATCAAGCGACATGTAGCGAGAGTTCAAAAAGCTACGGGAAAGCCACCCCCAGAACAAACGGAGCGATGCGCCTGTAGTATTCTGAGTTTAGCGTTCGTACGGGTACGTATTTTGAACGAGAGAAGCACGTGCCCCACTCGCAGTGGCGCGTGCTCAGCTCGTGCTAATACAGTGTAGACCGCATATAACGTATGTCTCGGGAGTCGCGAAAATCCGCACTATAAGCGGTACCGCACTATAACCAAAACATCAATTTTTTAGGCCAAAGTACATGCCATGAGACAACTTACCTTTGTAAAAGAATTTATTTTATGTTAGATGAAAAATAAAGCTTAGTTTGAGGAAAGTCTGTGTTTCACCAGACTAGTACAGTTCTGTCTCAAGTGTGTCACACATTTTGAAAGAAATGAGCGGCTTTTGCCTGGTGCAGCCTTTTAACGGCGTCGCGGGTTGCGGACGGACGTTGCAAGCGTTCAGGATTGCTAACCCTAATCACTTTTCTCCGGAGATGAAAACGCGTGAAAATTCGCATCCTTCTTACGGTACGCGCCAGTAATACCTTGAACTTGAGCACACACATGAAATGCGCCAAATAAGAAATCCGGGCGATGTTCGAGGACACAAATGCTTAGAAATCACCACTGTAGTCGAAGTAAACAAACACGACGACACGGGCGTTTCTGCCGTCTTGAGAGCGCCGCCACGACATCGCCGCACGAGTAGGTGGATCTTCCCTTCTAGTATGTGCTGGTCTATCATAGCGACACACAACGAAAATTCACCGTCAAGGATAGCGCTTTTACGCAGAACGATGAAATGCACGCCGTCTACGACGACGATCACAACCGACGCCATGTTTGCAGAATAGAAGCAGCCGGCCCGCGACCGGAGGAGGAGAAGCGTTGTAATAGAGGTTGGGGGGGGGGGGGGGGGGGGGGGAAAGGGCATGCAACGCGCGCGAACACTTCTCCTCGACCTGCGATTGGTTTGTCGTTGCGGTTGTTTGTTTCTTTGTTTCCGACGCAGCGGTGGGACGCACGCACATGAACGACTCGTGCGTGCGTCCCTCCGTTGCTATGGCAACTGAAGCCTCTCTCTTCGCTTCTCCCCGCGTTTTCGAGCAACCTCCTTGCCCCGCGAGTGCAGCTTGTGGCTCGCGCCGTCAGCGCCATTATCTAGTGTCGCACAGGGAAGCGAGCTTGCTGCTCCGGTCGTCGGCGCGGTCGGCGGGCTGTGCCAAAAACCGCACTATAACCGGTATTTCCCTTCGCGCGCCTGCATATTAAGCGGTATGTAAATACATGGAGTTCTATGGGAGGTGAACCGGTGGTTTAAAAAAACCGCGTTATACCCGGTCCTGCACTATAAGCGATTACGTTGTAAGTGGTCTATACTGTATTGCTTTAGAACAGTTGACCCTGAGATTTGGAATAAAGAAGTCAGACAGTCACCAGTGTCCTTCCTCGCCCTCGGCGGGGCCTGCGAGGATGCAGGCCCCTGCCGTTACCGGGTCGCCTTCGCGGATGAGCCCGAAGTCTACTCCCCGACCACGACGACGGCTGCAGCAGAGGCTGCCACTCCTTTCTCAACATTGACAAGGCAAGACATCGCCTCCACCGGCATTCAAGGCCATCCACGTAGCCTTGCGCCGTTACCCAACAGCACCCCTCGGACAACCACCTCACTACCAACATCGGCCACCTCATAAAATACGATATGGCGACGAGGATGGGATTCGAAAAGGGTAACGACAATTTCAAGGCAAGCACTGCGTCCCGGTCGCATAGTTGGCAAGAACCGGCGCATCTTGGACATTTTTGTCTTCGCAGCCTTGCAGCGTTTCGTTATGACTATTCAGGCCAGTCGAGCTAGCGTTTGGTTTTTCTCCTTTTGTCAGTTTGTTTTCGTGCGGGGCCTACTTCGAGCCAGGTAGTACTCGTTTCTCCGAACCAGAGCGTCTCAGAACTCCTGTACGCCTAACGTTTCGAACGCCGAGTTCATTTTTTTTTTGTAGCTTTACTGGTTTTTTTGGACGCAGCGCCGGTTCTTGCCAACTATGCGACCGGGACGCAGTGCTTGCCTTGAAATTGCCGTTGCCCTTTTCAAATCCCATCCTCGTCGCCATATTGTATTTTTGGAGGTGGTGGCCGGTGTTGGTCCGAGAGGTGATGTCGGGTACCGGCGCAAGGCTACGTGGATGGCCTTGAATGCCGGTGGTGGCGATGTCTTGCCTTGTCAATGTCGGGAAAGGAGTGGCAGCCGCTGCTGCAGCCATCGCCGTGGTCGGGGAGTAGACGTCGGGCTCATCCGTGAAGGCGACCCGGTAACGGCGGGGGCCCGCGTCCTCGCGGGCCCCGCCGAGGGCGAGGAAGGACACCGGTGACTGTCTGACTTCTTTATTCCAAATTTCAGGGTCAACTGTTCTAGAGCAATATTAGCACGAGCTGAGCACGCGCCACTGCGAGTGGGGCACGCGCTTCTCTCATTCAAAATACATACCCGTACGAACGCTAAACTCAGAATACTACAGCGCCGTCTGCTGACGTTTCTGGTGAGAGTAGAATATCCCTCCCAGTATTACTTTGGAGTTAACAAAGCATCATTTCGTGATACAAATTTAACAAAATAAAATTTGGGGAATGTACTTTGAAGTCAGGAATTGTACTTCAAGTAAAGTACAAGTTTCTTAAACCTACTTGAAGTAGTACTTTAACTACAATGTACTTAAAATACTTCCCAACGCTGTGAAAAAGGCCACGCGTAATCGTAATTTGAGGTGTTATATGACGCTTAGGGTATACGACAGACTTTGCGCCATAAAAGGATGATCTCGAAATCCATCTTAGTGCCACTTTAAACAGCATGCTGAGTGAATGAACGGATATAGGTTAACCTTTTGATTCGGGTGACGTTTTGTGCCACCTTGCCCTGTCACCTTCTCAACGTTCTGGGGAGCGACAGGTTAGCGTAAGAGGCCGGTTTAATCATTACCGTTGTTTTGGATTTTGATCATATTTTTGTCATATTATGGACGTAACAACCGGGGTTTATATAGTGCACAAAGCTGGCTGCGGGTGTCGCAAGGCCCTTGAATTGGAAAGGGTGACATGCTTGGTTTTAGGGGTTTCGTCCAGCACATCAAAAAAGCTGGGAGCATTACTGCTTTGTTCGAGGAACACGACGAGCAAACTACTTTCTGTGGAAGTAGTTTTTTGCCGCTGAATGCAGGCTCGATTTAGATAAACACTGGCCTCTGAGGAGTATTTCACCGTATGAATGGCGTTCCTGAATAAACCCAAATATTTGCCAGCAGTACCAATATTCTATGTATAAAACTCAAATACTAGGAATTTGAAAGTCAAATCCATTTATACCGATAATGATTATTAGATTCGGATTCCGAAGTCAAATATTCGCACACCCCTATTGGCAGCGAAGAAATTAATGGCCTCGTCATTGACTCGTTCACAATTCCAAGTACGTGGTAGAACCTCTTTGAATGGACCTGTGGTAGGTGGTACTTCCTAGGAAACTAACTTTGCACAAATGCTTGTGCGTGTCTTCAAAGTCGTCTTCCGATAAGATTAATTTTTGCTAAGTGGGACGGTCTTAACCGACCTTTCAGAGTTCCTTTTGAAGGTACACTAAAGTGGTTCCTCACTTGGTCTTTTTATGGCTCCGATTGGAACACTTGACGAAGTCTAAATGCCTCAAATTGTTCGCTCAGCCACCCTGCTACTGTATCTTATCTTTCTTATCTCGTGAAAGGAAAGGACTCTTTGCTTTTCCTTTTTCGACACAAAAGAGGGTATGACTTCAGTTGAGCATTTTATAATAAAGAGGGACGCTTATAGGAATTTTCGGGTTGATTTTTAGACCGTGAAGCATCATGTCTGAACAATAAAAAGATACTGCGTTAGTGCATGTATATTCTACTCTATGGCATCCAGTGTTGGGAGCAAAGCAAATACTGTAAACAATTTAACCTTCGCGAGGACCTAATTTTCGAGAATTTTCCGACGAATAATATTGCAAAAAATGGATCCCGCTGTTCTATTACATTATGATAATGAATACAAACCAAACCACTCCCAATCACGAAAATTTGTGCCCGCAAAATATTCCCGAAATCTGCACATCGCAAAATTTGCGAAATATTGAGCCCTGGAAAATAATGTTGTTTACAGTATTTTACATTTTTCTGCATCATCTCTAGCAATGCTTATTCCAGTTTCGGGTGTGCTTTAGATTGTCGACTTCTTTTCACTCCTGTTTAGGCCTATTAGTGGCTGGCAGTTACAGCATTGTCATAAATTCAAGCTTTTCGTGTGGCTCTTACTACGAAGGCACTTTACGAAGGCTTCGGTGTTTATGCACGGTGCTCGTTTCTGATTCTGACATATTCTTTAGGCGTTTGCAAATGGTGGATGTTCAGTTTGAAGCGAATTCAAAGCGAATTGTGGTTTTGGCCTAATATTTTCGAGTCGAATATCAAATAGTTTCTTCAAGCCTTTCACTACTGCACCATTTTTAAACGAAAACCCAGCTAAACTCGTGAAGGTTGCTCCCATGCTTTCTCTTGTCCATTTCTAAGCTAATTTTAATCTAACTATATTTATGGACTAGCCTCAGAAAGTCCTTTGCCTACATTGGGACAGTGAGTGAACGACACATTTCATATAAAATTATACATATACTGTGGAGATGCCTAGCTATATATAATCAAGGGGGTTTACAAATCTTAGTAGTATATATACAAATATGTATCTTGTCTTAAGTCTTGAAATTGAGAAAATAATAATAAAAAGTTTTATGAATGCAGGTTGTCAGGACATCTGTGCCTAACCTGTTCTCTCGCACAATAGCCAGATTTCAATTTTGAAAGTTTTACTGTGGTTTTCAACTATGTAAACACTTAGAAAGTGGAGACACATAAGGGACGATACAGACGTCTTGTCTGTATCGTTTCGTATGTGTCTCCATTTTCTAATGTTTAAAAAGCACCAACACACTCAAATAGTACAAGTTCAACTATGTGTTTATGGGGCTCTGCAGCCATGAGATGGTGCGGTGGCTGCCTTGATAAGTTAGGCGATCAACTCAAATTGGTTCATTTACTTCTTAAAGAGCAATTTTATAGGCCACGTTGCAATTTTAGTTTTAGGGACAATCGTTATGAGGGGCTAAACCAATTGGTACACTTTGCGTAAATACGTACAATTAGATTTCAGAGAATCAATTATCGGTTTTTGCGTTCTTGTCGTCGAAATGGATGCAGAAAGAATAAGGCATTGAGGAGTGGCACACTCGTTTGGCCTCAGCAGTGGTGCATCCACCAGGTGCCGAGGTAACGATGAGGTGCATGAAACAACCGTGTCACGCTCATACGCATCATTGTGGCCAGATGTTTCGGAGTTCTTTCCACGACCAGAACGAGGCAAATAAAATTAACCAAGCCAGGAATATCTCCAATTTTGTTAACATTTGGCAAACACTTTAAGTTGGTTAAGCCTCTCGCAACGGCCATTTAATACTTGGACCCATAAAACCAGTAACTAACGAATTTTAGTTCATTTACCGCCTCCTCGTTACGGTCATTCCCTCGCCGAGCCCGGTAAATATGTGGTAAAGACGGCACATACATAATTGCGGCCTTTTATTAAAACTTGTTTTAATTAATTACTGCGGCATTTCCCACGAGTGAAAGTGATTGGTGCACGCCCGTACCAGCATCTCCTTTTGGGTATAATGTGGAGGTGGGTTTCCAGGGGCCCTGGCATTTCTGGGCAAACATGTGGAGCGCTCGAACTGGTGGCCGGTCGTCACGCACACTGCTTACGACCGTCTGCCTTCCCTTACGACCAGAGAAAGCGCACAGGCGCCATCTGCTCGGGTGCAACACTCGCAGTTGCCCCGTAGGTTTTTTTGCGCATCATTTTCTCTTTGCTCGGAAATCTTTTGACAATGTTACGGACGAGCCTTTCTCGTAGATGGAACGTACATTCAACCTCGCCAATACTGTGAAACTTTGGCTCTAGTGAAATGCAGTTGCAGGGTGCCAGTGCGCTCTCTCCTCGTGAGAGATTGCGAGTGCTCGGTCCTAAAGAAAGGCAGGCGCGAATGGGTCCTCGGATTCCCTCGGGCGGGTGTTCCAACGGCGGGTCTTCGTCCGGCTCGGAAGCCCGTCTTGGACGCCCGGAGATTGTAAAAGCCTGTCGGACATCTCGCCTCTCGGTGACCGTCGTTTGTTTCTACGGCAGGATTGAAGACGCGGCCGACCTGGTGAGGCTCTTCTACCACGTGCATCCGCGGAGCGACGCGTCGGAAGTGGACGACCGGGCGGATGGAGTAGAGCTCGTTCAGGTGGGCGCAACAACAGTCGCCGGATGCAGATAGTTGGTACTATGTTCTTCTCGTGGGTGCCTCCATTTTGGTACTTGGTGCGCAGCAGACGCATTTGGCGATTGGCTCGTTGATCGCCGACATCGTCTAAATTTCCAGACGATGTCGGCAATGGCAGGAGCTAAGGGTCGCGAGAAAACATTGCAAGACAGTAGGATGGCAGCTACCATGATAAGACAGAATCGGGGTCTTGTACTCCCGATGAGATCACTCGATTATCATGCCCGCGGCATGCCCGTGTGCCGCCTCTCACTAGCTTGCGTGCTTTGAGCTTTACTACGCTTTGCACCGGAGTGCTAGGAGCAGCGGCTGACGTCGGTGATCACCTAGGAGCACCCGGAAATTATGCCCGGTACTATCACAGGTGTTGGCCTTAGTCTTGATTGTAGGTTGATCTCCAATTTTAAAACGCTGTGCCAGGAGAAAAAAACAACACTGGTCTGCAATTGAATAAACATGGTAATCAACGTAGTTTTCATGCAGCTGTCGATCAAAAAGAGCTGCAAACTGACCTCATTTTGGTTCGAACACCGCTAAACAGCTGCACCACCTTCAAAGCAGAATTGTAGGTTTTCATAATATTTGTGAGTAGCTGTTTTTGCAGGTTATAATATTAGTCAAATTTGGTAGGTTCATGAAACATGCGGGGAAGCATTTTTATTGATAGACACGTTAGCGGATATGCTGGTTTTCGCTGGCATTTTACAGGAATTTTATGGGCTAAATAAATTATCAAATGTAAAAGTGGGAGGGGAGAGGGGCTTTATCCCGACTCAAATGTCGCGCTACGATTCATTTTTCATCCTTTTTTTTAGTACCATTTGTAAAGGGAACCCTAAAAAGAAGGCTCTGTGTTCTTTTTGTGCTCCGTTTTTATTACAAAAGGCAGTAATCTGCTCCAGTATCAAAAAGGAACTCTCGGTCATTATCGAAGATGGACTCATGTAGCGATGCAATTGCTTAATTTTCGAGTGATTTGGCTGCTCCAGACCAATATTGTGACTGCTACAGGACCTGCTACCAAAGGTCTAATGTCGCTTCCATCACCCCCAAGTCGGTTTTATCGAGGATCAGGAAAAACGGTTAAACCTCAACTTGTTGCTGTCCTTCAACAATGAAAGAAAAAACAGCAGCGACCCTTCACTCCTACAATGCACAAAGTCCAGTATTTAAGGAGCGATTGTTTAAAGTTGTTTAGAGCACTTTGGGGAGTTTGAGCATGAATCTCTGGACAGGCGTTCACACGGAAGGACTCGAACAAGAGGGCCCACCTGGAGCTGGCCATGCAGACCTACCTGGAGGTGAAGAGCAGCAGAGACCAGGTGTCCACGGGCCTGGCTGCAGCTAGGGGACTCCAGTGACCATCCCCAGAGTGGAGCCGCCACATTCCGGGAAGAAAAAGAACTGGACTCCCGAATCTTTAGTGCCAACGGTAGCCACCTTAACCATTAAATTACCGTTTGAAGCCAAACGGTACTGGTTGGAAACTGTCGCGCTTGGCACCATTTTGTGAAGATTCCACCGACCGCAGAGTTGGTTGCCCCACGATGTGAAGCCACTCTCCTTTGTGGGAGACTAGCCTCGCCTGGGTTGGTGCGGTCAAGCGTTTCTTAAAATTGGCGATTTCTGGCTCGCTGAAACTCATTAGCAGAAGTACCATTCTAGAGATGATGCAATAAAGATGTTCTGGACACTGGGGAACATTCATTACTCAATTGTTACTCCACTTTAGAACTTCCATTTGCTGGTGTTTTAATGGTGATCAAGCTTTCAAGAACCATGTCACGTAGCGTATGAACTGTGTGCACAACTTTGCTTTTTTTGGGGGGTGACAAGTTTAGACTATCATTTTTGTTGAGTTTGCTATACATGGCATTTGATTGCAGCTTGCTACAGCATTTTATTGTGGGGAAATATGATATTGCGTGTATGTAATAAGGTTGCAGCTGCATAATGTGTCTTTTCTATGAGCATACCACAAAATTAGAACTTCATTGCACCAAGTGGCCACGCAGTATTTGGTATTCCCCTATTAGGGCGACGCAACATTCGCGCTTATAATTGCCTACTGAAGCGATCTTCAGTGAGAATCAGATCTTTCTTAAGATCCCTATCGTTTCTTCGAAGCGCGTTCTGTGGAAATACGTTTCGTAGACAACTTTTCATGTATACACATTTCATGGGCACACGCTTCGTCGAAGCTGTACCTTTTGTGGGCACATACCCGTGACGTTTCGTCGACAACGCACTCCATCACTAAGCCGCTAAAAGCTAGCGCGCGATTTACTAAGGCGCGCTTGAACAAACCACGCCCCCTCCCCTTGTAATCGAGGCGAGACGCAAAGTTTGTTACGAAAATAGCAGGGTTGTGTACGACGACACGTCTCAGAATTTTTTTATCAACTGCCCGGTGAAATTTAGTCGACGAACTGAATGCCACCGGGCAAACATCAGGGTTGCCAGGTAGTTTCTAGCGCAAACCGCCAAATGCCAGACAATGTAGCCCAAAAGTAGCCAAATGCAAGAGATTTATGTAGGCCAAAAGTAGCCATATTCTGCAGAGCCCAAAATATTGTGCGCTGGAATGTACGAGCTCAATTTAATGGCACTGCGTCTGCATATCTGGGGATTAGGAGCAGCTTCCAAGATCTACGACATCTTGAAATGTATTGAACGTTTTATTTCAAACACAAAAGCTTTCCACACGCAATTTTACAGTCGCATAGTTTTGAAGCACTCACTCGCGCCCGGCTTACTCACCTCATACATGATTCATGTGTTAAAACGGGCAAAAACTTCTTCAGTAGGGTTGATGTCCATACAGCACTCGTTCTTCCCAATGAGAGCAAACTTTACATAGAGGACATTTTGAAGAGTTAGAAGGGACATGTTCTTCCTTAGGCCTGACTTTGTGAGGGACACGTGACTGAATACTCTCTCCACAGCAACATTCGGCATGTGTGTCGGGAGCGGGATGGCAAGCTCGGATAGCAACGGAAACAGAGCTGCTCCTGCGCTTTGATCTTGGCCTTGTTCGGAATATTCATTGTCCCAAATCTGTTGTCTTTTGTTATGGCTCACGGTGTTTTAAGAAAACTCCACGTTTCGCGGAAAAGCCTCCTTTGTTGTATCCGGTACAGCACGCGTTATCGGGCGACATCAAATTCTGCAGGATGTTTTGAGTTGTCTTTAGTATCATTCTACCTCGGATGAGTTGCCTCCTGTAGGAGGATGGCGGGAAACTCGAGAAAATAAGAGACGCCAGCAGGAAGCAGAAAGAACTTGGGAGCATAAAATAAGCCACAGTTAATACAAAAGCGATGTCGTCGGAGCTGAATCTTATCACAGAAAATCCCTGAAAGTGGGAATCCAGAAAGGGTAGACTGTCGCTTTGTGTCCATACTGAAGTGTCTTTTGTACATCTCCATGAGCGTACCAACCGGGGGGCAAGGGGGGGGTGGGGCAAGCCGTGTGTTTTGCCCCCCGCCCCCCTGAAACAGCCGCCACTGGGCAGGGCAAACACTGGCCGGCGGCGCCCAAGGGATACCAAGGGCACCGCTCTCCGGCCCTGGGGGCGGGGGGAGGGGGATTGGTCTGGTTTGCCCCCCTCAAAAACAAGTTGGTACGCCACTGTACATCTCAGTCTAAACTAAGGAAAAAAAAAAAGGAAGAAGAAAAGTGTCGCGTTAGGATTTGAAATAGCCTAAAAATAGCCACATAGCCAACCGCCAAATTTCGTTGCCAAATGCTTGACAAAGTAGCCTAATTTGGCTATTGATAGCCCAACCTGGCAACCTTGGCAAACATTTAGATCCGGATCTGCGGATATCCGCATTCGATCCGCAATCCGCCAAAACTTGTCTAATTTTTATCCGCATCCGCCCGTTTATTGCGGATATGCGGGGACCTAGTGATAATATATCGCAAAAGCTACGGTTACATCGAACAAAAATAGCAGCCGCTACCGATATATCGAACTGCCAAGAGCGCCATTTTTCTCTGCAAGCTGGCTTTCCCCCAAATGCGAGCGGCGCATTGGGGAAAGCCAGCTTGCAGAACACGCTGGCTTTTTTTTTTTTTTTTTTTTTTTTTTTTTTTTGGGGGGGGGGGGGGGGGGGGGGGCAATTGCGTTGTTGTTTGGAAGAAGAAAAAAAAGAAAAAGAAACTTTTGCGGAGGGAGCGCGGGAGGGTGCTCCTTGCTCCACAAAAGAATATTATTTTTTTTCTTCCGGGCGGTTGACGTGGCCGCCCGGAAGAAAAAAAAAAAGCCAGCTTCTTTTGCTAGTTAGCTTCCCCCAACGCAGCCACCCTGTTGTAGGGGAAAGCCAACTTGCAGAGCAAAACGGCACTCTGCAGGAGAAGGTGCTCCCGCTCGGACGTGCTCCGGGCTCTCGGCATAGTTCGGCGCTAATATAGAAGGCAGCGGCTTCAGCATTTTGGAGTCCGTCGACAGCGTAGAAAAATATCGTTATCGCGGATGCAGTGAAGAAAAAGCAGAAGATGCAAGACTATTTCATTGTCAGGAGAAAGTGGATTTTTGAGAGACAAATTCATTAAAACTTATATCGAATTACACGATATATCAAATTCCCATTTTTTTGTGAGTTTGATATATCCGGGTTTGACTGTAGCATTCCTCGTTCGAAATGCAAATCATTGGCTCCAAAGTAAATGTGGGTGTACACTTTTTTTTTTTTTTTTTTTTTACTTCTATACCGACCGGGGGTTCTCGAACCATCTTGAGGAATGGCCATCTCCCTCGAATGGCAACTAGGAAACTTGATGCGATACCGATGCAGCGAAGCACTGCAGAAGCCCACAGCCCTCGCAGAGACGCATGCTAGGGGACATGGCATCGGTGGCTCGTGTCTTCCAAGACGTGGCTCGAAATGTGAAAGGCAGCCGAGCAAAAGCCTGGGGAAGCCAGTTTGAGACCTCACGGTTGGACCAATGTCCGACGTCGCAGTGGCACTGCTGTCGGCACGCGCGCAGACGCTTCATCTCGCGCGAATCTGATGCTGCACACGCAGTGCCCATACCTGGTGTGGGCTAACAGGGAGTTGTCTGCGCACAATGCATGTACAAAAATTGGCTGTCTCTTTCGCATTTCACGAAAGTGTTCTAAATGCTACACCTTAGCGTTCAAGCAGTCGCTTTACTAGGTAGAACTCCCTTGGACGTGGCTAAAGGTGTTCCAGATGCAACGCATTCAGGGTGCTCTTTGTTGAATCTGCCCGAAATGAGTCTGTCACAAACGTCATGCACCGCATTGATTAGATTGTCCGTAAACTGCCAGTTCACGGACTCAAACTGCCAGTGGGCCGCCACGCAACGACAACCAGCTTCCCGTCGCCGCCGGGCCCCGGCACTATCGTCTTGCAGCCTTGTCCCTCGCTCCTTCCTCTTTGCCTCGGTGTGCCCGAAGCATAGCGTGCAAGCGAGGGCCCTCGTAGTGCGTGTAGTCCACTTTGCCGTCCCCACTCGGAGAGCGATCGCCGACCGTACGGTCCAAGAGCTGGCCTTTGCTACGGATTTAATCTGAAGGTAGATTATCTAATTTGTGCTATACAACTTCGGAAACTCCCTTGGTAAGACGCGTGCGAGGCTCAGCAGAGTTACGGAATCGCTCGTTTTATTTACAACTGCGCGGAGACAAGTCGCGTTAACCAGGGTGGCGTGCGTCGGAAGAACCAAACATCCGGAGGTGGAATTGGGCCGGGCGTCTCGGCAGCGGGCTGGCCTTGCGGTTCAGAAGTCGAGGTCGTCGTCCGGGTCGTCTTCTTCGTCAAAGTCGTCCTCCCGCTCCATCACGTACGAGATCTCTCCGCTGCCGCCTGCAGAGGGTGCCCTGGAAGGCAAAAAATCAGTCACTCCAACCTCGGTGAGAGGCATATGATCTGTCTCTATTGGATCTGCCCGAGTACGAAAGCCTATTTTGGAGGAAAGAAAAATCGTAAGCTGCTGTCGGTAATCGATGGGGGTCGAGCATCTTTACTTATAGACAAACTGGCAGAGCCAGTCATCTTGTTAAAAACCCGAAAATCTGCTCCAAACATACGGGACATGGTAAAGTTTACTTCTGTATAGAGCCAATGTTTCTAGATCGAAGTTCGTTGATGAGCCCCCTAGAACGCCCAAAGCCTTTTCGTAGCGCATCCACTTGGTGGCGCTGGATACGCTATCGGCCTAAAGCCCCTTGATAAAAGCGTTTTTTACAAGTACCGCCAACCATTGTTGTGGAAGCGCGCGAGACACGTGCCATGAGCGGGTGCTCCGCCGCCATTCGCTTCCAAGGCCCGCTCATTTCAGTGCTGTGCCGCCATTTGCTTCCAAGGGCCGCTCGAGACATGGGCCTCGTGCACTCGCGCATTTGACGCTACTTGCAAGACGAACGCAAACACATCGAGGGGCTTTATATCGGCCTGAAGCCCCTTGATAAAGGCGTTTTTTTACAAGTACCACCGACCATTCTTGTGGAAACGCGCGAGACATGTGCCACGAGCGGGTGCTCCGCCGCCATTTGCTTCCAAGGGCCGCCTGAGACACGGGCCTCGTGCACTGGCGCATTTGATGCTACTTGCCAGACAAATGCAAATGCATCGAGGAGTTTGATATAGGCCATCCTCATGGACAGAAACGGCAAAACCGGCAAAACGTTGCATGCACAGCGGAAATTGTGGTTTTCTATAGTAAACAATTTTCATTCAAAAACGGTTCCTCTCCATTGTCCGCAGAGGCATTGCCACTCGTGGAGCTAGGAATGGTACCCACCCATATTTGCTCGCGTGCAGGCAACCGAGATGAACCATTTTCGAGAAACTCTCTTCCACGTAACTTGTCAATTGATACATCTAAGAATATCGGTCCGAGCAAATGTTAGACTCGCACGAGTCTTTATGAGAATGACTAGAGAACCAGAGTACTGATCCTTGACCTGGTCAATCGATCGAGCATGCAGAATAATAATCCATATTAAATAAAAGTTCAAATCAGAAATTCCCAAAAAACAAACTGTCGGCAGTGAGACACAGAGTTAGAGCTTCTCGATTCACCAGTGTGTCCTCCATACACGATACAGACTTTGTTCATCTCGCGCCCATTCAATTAATGCCTCTCGCACCGTTACACACTTCGCGCAGCGTCTAAACTCGTTCCTCAGATACTTTATCCCCCGAGCCGGTTCTCCATTTATTTACTGACGAGTGGTATACTAAAGCGTGTATTGGCTCGCTGGCCAACGTCCCCAACTCGAGACGAACGAGCGGAATGTCTCCCCCGCTCGTGCCACAATTCCCAGGAGGCGGTACTGTCACAGAGAGGAGCCGCCTACTTGAGGTAAGGCAGGACCAGGCCGTCCCTGGCCTCTCTCTCGTCGCTGGTCAGTCGCAGGTTGAACGTCAGGTTGGCAGCCGGGTCCGGCTTGGCCTGCGACCCAAAGCAGTCCGGTTTCGGATGGCACTCCCTACAGTTGCCAAAGAGGTCGGCAAGAAGGACCACCTGCCCCGCAACACGAGGGCAGCGTCGAGCACTTTGTATTTCCGGTCTGACCGCAGCCAACCAAGCGGCACCAGAAGTGTGTAGTCTTTGTGCGTTTCCCATGGCCGGCTAAACCAATCGTGCGAAGAAAAAAGCCTAGGATCGTGCCGCGTTCGCTGCACGTGATTGGTTCAGCCGGTCATAATGACGATGCACTTTTGGCACTGCTTGACTGGCCCCGTCGGAACATGGGATGCGGTCTAACTTAAAGGGCAACTGCGAAGAAAAAAAGTGTTTTTTTAAAAGTCTAATTGAGACAAGACTCGCAAAACAATTTTTCCACGAAAAAATAATTCTTTTACAGCAATATTAATTGCACGAGACTGATTTTAGTTTGCGGCTATTTCGTCCGTTTTAAATTGCGCTCCACAAAGTTGGTATTCCAGCAGACTCCCTTTAAGACAAACACGAAGGGAACCTTAAAATTTGTTTGACTTATCCGATGTTCGCCTAAACAGAAGTGCCCTAATTATCATGCTGGGCATGTCTAAATTGCTGTTGGCCAATAAACACAGAATGAGAAGGCCTACAATGAAGAGATACTTAAAAAGGGACATTTATTTGGCTTATCATGCCAAACGAAGAAAAAAAATAATGTTTCATGCACCACTGGGGGGGAACCGATCCATTCAATGATTTTTGACTGCCTCCTCCTCTGTGCAAATCGTTGTCTAGCGATGAAAGACAACATGTGACCCATGTTCCTGAAAAAACATGGGCCACATGTAATAATTGAACCTTAATCATTGTCATCACGTCCATCAGACTCCTTGTCCGACGCCTCCTCCCAAACGCCTCCTCCCAAAGTGCCATCGAGTGCATTTGAAATCCCGCACCTCTTGAAAGAGTGAGCGACGAGCGTGCGCAGACGCAGTGAAAACCCGGCGCGGCGCATAAACCGAGTGAACCAATGTCGGCTCGCCAAAGTTCTCATGCAGCAGCTCAACGTTTATGGCGAGGTGCCGTTCACGCTGCTCTTTTACGAAGTTGGTTCACGTTGCTCTTTTAGAATGTCACTAAGACTTGTCTCGACGTCGGCGAACACGCCATTCTTTGGGCTCTTAAAGCTTCTTCTCGTTCCGTCGCACGCGAACAGAGCTTGCTTTCGTCATCTCCATCCGCGGATGCTGCCCCCATTTACGGCGAATTGTCGTCCGGCAGCACTGTTACCGATATCTTCCGCAACCAAAACAACTTTTCTTTTGTAGGCGACCTATGACTGTTTTCGCGCCGACACCATTGCCGATGTCAGCTCCTGTAAAGCGGCACCGTTGTTCAGTAAAGTGCTGCCAGATGAGCGATCGCGACAGCGAGTCTTTCAGCAGCCATGTCGCCCCGAAAGATGACAAGCTGAATACTATTTGGCTGGAGGCAATCGGGTGTTCGCGTAGCGACAAACCTGTCCAGGTATGTTCTCGTCCTTTCGGTCTGGAGGCCTTCGAGATTCGCACCGAGTGCACCAAACGTCCGTGACTGAGACGCGGGGCGATCCCGACGCTTTTCCTACCGAGCGCGCCGACGGCTCGGGAGGCTCAGGCGGTGTGCTGTCTTCATTGCTGGCAGCCGTCCTCCGCGGCGTATCTTTGTATGGCCGAAGACCCAGTTGCTCGCAGTGGCCAAGAAGCTGACGCTTCCATTCAGGATCCATTTTGCGTGTAGTTCGCACAGAACGCAGAAGCGACAAAAGGCTGTGGTACGCACGCAAGACGCACCGGGAGTCGAGACGCTGCATACGCCGTTCAACTCCGCAGCCAAGTCAATCCAAGAGCGAATCCGAGATTGAGGGGCGGGGCATACTTCTCCAAGTGGGGCAAAAAAGCAAGAGTTTCAAATGTGGAGAGGTTGTAACTTTGACTAAAGTATGTTCTGTGGCGTAAATATTGCTAAAAACAGTGTTTGGTTTTGCAGAAGATTTGTTCTGTGACATGCTTGTCCCAATTAGGCCTGAAATCCAGCCGACCTTATAATATACACAAGCATTTTGATTCCACCCCCCCCCCCCCCCCCCCTCTCCACCCCGAGTCATGCACCTCCCAGCCACCTCAACCCCCCGAACAAATTCCTGGCTACGGCACTGTGTTACGCTGCTTTGTTGAACCTTCCGAACCCTGCCACGGTTGCGGTGAAAAATAAGTGGATTCAATGACGCTGCAAGACGTGAGGGTAAGTTTTTACTCAAACAAATGAATAGCTTCCCCCGTCGCGATGTGTTTACGCTGCCGCAGGTATAGTTTTGGTTTACGTTCATATTCACAACCACGGCTGCTGGCGGTAGCTGCCGCGACTGATGCACAGTCGCGTAGACGCAACGACAAAGCGCATGATCTGTACCGAGGGTTTTTTAAATCCCCATTCGTCGTGGCGCTGCATGTATTGCGTCAGGTCTATTAAAATAGCTGCGGCATGCTTCCGACAGTCGGTAACTCCGACTTTTTAAGAGCACTTGCCCGAGTTAAGCAGTGTGTGCTATGGCGCAACCGCGTGCAGAAAGACAATTTGAACAATATAGCATCCTCATCTTTGTCCAAATACCTCTGACTTACGAGAGCGAGCGAAACCATAAAGAAAAGCAGCATTTATCTTGTCATAGGCGATGCTGCCTTTCACTTGCGAGATGCACGTCACTGTTACCTTATGTTCTTATGCCTAAATTACCTCCTCCATTTAAGAGACACAGGCAACTTTTCTTTGGGGGGTGTGCCTCCCCCAAAAAATTACCAAAGTTTTTCAACAGACAAAAAGTCGCAATAATATTGCAACTGGACCCGTACTGCTATGGAGGGCGGTTTCTCACCAGGGCGTGGCGCCATTAGTATTGCTTTGGAGCACCCTCTGGCCAGTCGAATAGGACTTTGTTACATACTAATTGTAATCACCTACTTAAGGCAACCAGCTCGCATTCCAATAACTTTCTAAATATTCTGCGACATTGAGGTCTGCCGCCATTGCTGACCAAGGGTTCAGTTGTGAACAAAAGAAATATCGGCACAATTCCATCTCAATTCACGCCTCTACTCATGGCAGAGTCCGAGGCAGTGATGTTAAATTTAGTAAATCAGCATGAATGATTTAGCTCCTTGCCATTATAACAGATACAAATTGCCCCAAAAACTTAACTACCCATTGCAGTTATAGTTAACTGAAATTCCATTGCAGCGTAATGTGGGAAGTATGTAGTTACTGAGATTGTAATTAATTACGGCAACTTTATTATTTTGAATTAGTTCCTTAAGCCCCCCCCGTTGGAACTGTCCAACCTGGTGGGGCCCTTGGGGCAGCCATTTGTGTGGTTGGTACCCACCACACACACTCTCACCACTTTGTCGTCTCTATATAGAAATGTTAACAGTGGGGGAACTCACCACTTCCTTGGCCACTTTTTTCTGCTCCACTTTTTTAATGTTTGTGATGGTGAACCCCGCCTCCACGGTGAATTCTTGTTCCTTTGGGAAAAAAACGGGCTCGGCGTCAGCTTCCAGTTAGACCCCTTTTGTCGGTTTTATAAACTGTAGGTTTCCACAGGCAGCAACGTTCAATGGTAGTTTGTGCTTTAACAATTTTGGGAAGTTAGTCAGTCCCAAAGGGTGTCCGGTGTTTCTACCGTAGACGAGAACTTCAGCCGCCGCTAGCCATCACCAAATAGTGATGCACGACCACACGCCGGTACGGTGCTCATTCAGGATCTCCAGGTTCTGCTGCGCAACAAAACACACTCGACCACCGATCCCCCCTGTTAGGGCTTTCATTTCTTCGGCAGAGGAGGCGACGAGACAAAGCGGCGGAGGGTGCCAATGACTTTTGCTACAGTCAACTTTCCACGGAGCCCGTATGAATAAGGTTCAATACAAAAACTGAAGGCACCAAAACGTTTTCTAAGAAACTTTAAAATTGGCATAAACCAGTTTGTGATGCTGCCACTGTCCTGGCGAGTAGCCTTGCTGTCCATATTGTATATCTGGAAACTTTACAGGGTGGTATCACTTAAATTCAAACAATCTTGGTGGGGGGGGAGGTCTTTAGATTTTTTTTAAAACTAATATATGTGATAGCTCTGTTCCTGCGATGAACAAAATGGCCCTTCAAGAAAGTTCAAGTAAGCTGTTCAATAGAAAAAAAAAATCTGAATTGCTATGGAGTGAAACAAAAACTCAATTTGAATATCTGTCGAGTGTGTTTATTTGTTAAATTATTTTACTTACTTAGGCCGTTAATATTTATTTTAGGTTAAAGAAAAAAATGCGGACCCTGTTTACGAAATTTTTTAACTGTATATTCTCGATAGCTTTTTTTATAAACTATCAAAAACTTGCTACCTTGAGCAATTTTCGCTTGAAATCGGGATGGCTGCAGCAGACGAACCATTAATGCCAGCGACATAAAAAGACTATGAATATGTAGCTATTAACGTCAGCAATCTGGTAATGTGCATTTCATGTAAGTCATATTTATAAATATATTTATATTTGGCTCCGAAATCATTAAAAACCTTCAATTTTCATATTTATGAATTCGGTTTTTACGAAAAGGCTATTTTTTATTTTGTTCAAACTTTTTTATGGATTGCTACGAGTACAGGCAACAACGGGGCAAACTTAATAGTTCACCTTTTTGTGTTTTATTCTCTGCACAGCCAGCTAAATAAGCACATTTTAGGCTACTTCTAAAGTTTTGGCTCCGGTATGGTTTCTTCACCACGTCATCAGCGAAGCACTCAAGAATTTTTCAACTCAAAATAGGAATATGAAATACCGCCTCTCTTTTTGGTCATTACCAGTATAACATGCATTTATTTTCGTGAAATACAAATTTGAAAACAACATAGCGTGGTCGTGGAGAAAATTGTCACTGTAAACACATCTGAGAAAACTTTTAATTAAATAGTGTATAAACAGTTATAATCACTGTGCTTGTCTGAGCTAAAGTGACGTGTTTTAAGGTAACTTTGGCCGAGTCGAGAATGAGTTTGAGGTGGCTTGTTTTAGCAACAAGGTAGAGAGGCGCTGTTGGAAGGCCGTCTATCTTCCAGCCAGGAGAGAGAAACCTTTTCGTGGGACCCCGCTCGTAAAAACAGTGGTGACCCTCGATCGAGAGTCTGCGTTCCCAGCTCATACCAAAATACCTATGTAGCGCCATGTGAGAACTCGTAAGAAGACACATATGTGCTTACATGACGAGTGTGGACATGTGAGTACAACAGTAAAAGGAGATCCCTTCCGTGCATCTCTTCTAGCTTCACCTCTTTGTTTGCACACATTTCTCCTTGACTGATGGTTATCCTCCAGCAGGCCCAAATTTGATCTTGGTCCTTTTTGTTCCGCTCTTATTTATCTTTCTTCTTTAGTTAACAGCAGACAAACTGGCATTTTCAGCATCTTTTGTCGGTGATGTATATCGGTGTTTATAATTTAAAGGGCAACTCCGCTTCATTTTTGATATTTAGAAAACTATGTAGCCCTCTTCAGTATCATATAGAAAGACCCCCATGTCAAATATTACAATCTAATTCCGCCTATATATTTAAGGGGAGACACTGCACAGAAAGAAAAGACTCTGCAAAAAAAGTTGATTTTGAAAAATGACATATTTACATCCACCAACATCTAGAGAGTATTCCCAAAAAGTTTAATTAATTTTCACTGCATACTTAATTTTTTATAAATTATTTTCTGTCCACCAAAGCTAAAGAAAAGGTAGGGTTTGGAGCACTTTGGATGCATTTTTCTCCGTTTCACTTTTTGGTATAAATTCCATTTTAGTCAATCTATTGTTTGATTATGGCAAAACAGGGATGGTTCAATATTCCCTTTTCCTGACTGAAATTTAACAAGGAATGCGGCTATGGAACTTTGTCACTTTACGATGCCTTTTATAAAAAAATGTTGACATTTTGTCTAAGACACAGAAGACCAAAAAGTTGACCATTTTTGCAAAAGAGAAAATTTATAGAAATAAATTACTTTTTAGAAAAAACGTTCTATAGCAGCACCCTCTAAGCATTCTGCTACATATCTAGCAAATAAAAATCTTGAATATCATTATAGTTTTATCACGATAGATTAACTAACCAATGTAGGCGTGTTGCTGGTGGAAGCCACTCTAATTTCCTTCTCATTTAATCGACAGACCTGAAATTTTGTTATACACCCTCTAGCATGACCACCAGCCTACCCTCTATATTTCATTAATTTTAAGACAAGGGTTCAAAAGTTGACCCCCCTAGGGGGTGTGTCCCCTTAATAAACTGGCCAGCAAACCTTCAAGTGAGCCAAGTCGCCGAAATCTGCCAACTCTAGCGTGCGACGTGAGGCGCAATCGTCAGCGCAGTCACTGCGACGGAGTTGGAGCGGCCAACGTTGAGCCACTACGTTAGAGGCATGACTATGTCATTCTCACGTTTTGTTTGTTTTTACTTCTCTGAGCGAAATTGAATGATGACGTCATGAGTTTCTCCTCCAGGTGTTGGCTGAACGGCGTCCACGTGATCACCGTAACGCGGTGATCACGTGCGCTTATCGGTCTATTTCTCCGCTTCCCTTCTCCTCTTTCGTCTTCTCCTTTTCCCCTTCTACCCCGGGCCATCACTGTCCACGCCATGCGAAGCGACCTACCCGCGGCGCGGGTCCTGTCCCTCGCCCCTCCGAACGTCACAAGACCACGTAGTTCGACGTGACGTGGCCATGACTCTGACAACACAAGACCAAGGTTGCCTGACGCAACCAAAGTTTCGGTTTCGGTATCAGCTGATGTTTAAATTAAGATTACACAAATAATATTCCACATTTCGCAAATCCGAAGACGCAGAGCTGTTTAGTAGTGCTTTGTGAAATGAAATCACATGCAAGCCTAAATTTTTCGGAATTGAGCGGAGTTGCCCTTTAGAGGGCAACTCCACTCAAAAAGTCGACCCTATCGAAATGACTGATAACGCTTTAGGGGGTCAAAATACTGCCATACCCAAAATATCACGTCGAACCGACGCCGCATTACCGATTAAAATCAATATTAAAAATGTTCTCCCGGCTCGGTTAGCGGCCCGAAAGAGGGTGAGTAACGCTGGCACTGGGTGAGCTAGTGAAGCAACACTGGGCAATGACGTAGGTTTAGTCCTACACTCTCGTACGGACGCTTCGCTTCGCGGAATTCCACGGACGCTTCGCTTCCGTGGAATTCTGCGGTTCTGCTGACGGCAAGAGGTGCTTACCACGTTATCCTGTGTTCTCCTATTTTTATTAGCGTCGAGGCAGTTCATTTAACTCCAGCATTGCTTCCGCGACAGTGCGGAAGAGAGCGAAGCGATGATGCTCGCTCACGCGCGTGTTGTGGAGCCGGAGAGACTCACCGGACTCGCGTTGGGCAATGTCGAGCACGACTTGTAATGCTATGGGTTGCACCAACAATCCGGTGCGCAACCCGGAGCTGCGGTTCCACAAGTTCCCAAGAGACCGGAAGAGGCGCAAGGTGTGGGTCGGTGCCGTTCGCCGGATAGACTTCGGAAGACCGTCGACTCCGTGCTCCAACGCGAAGCACTGCTCCCAGCACTCTACGTCAGACACCTACACACGGTATCTGCGGCTGCTGACTATTGCGTGTTTCTCCACGAAACACGCGTCTTTGAAGAACGATGCGGTGCCGTCGCTGTTCGCGTATCGTCCGCCGGCTACTCCAGCACGATCGGCCGGACGCAGCAGGTCGCGGCTGATCTAACTAGCGTGCACATAAAGGCACCTTAGCTTTAACAACTTAGACCGCTTGTGGATACATCTGTCCATATATCTCCTATTATTTCTTTTTCTCTCGGTCCGCGAGCAAGAAACAAATACAGTCACGCTGCGCCGGCGCTGACCCCGTCATATTTATAGCAGTCGGATTCGCTTTTTGGCCGGCAAATTTATAAATACACACTAAAACTTACTACATTTGGTGCATATTAACAAAGTGAAGCGGGAAAAAAGAAAATGTGTAACTTAACTTCCGTTTTGAAACTCCACATGCGACTGAACCGACATTGTCGGTGCATCGACTCGGGAGCGCGGGACGAGAACTAGGTGATGCCGACGACGCGCCACTAGTATCAGTGTTGCCAGGCTGCCTCAGCCGGTAGTTTCGGTTTCGCTGTGCCGCCATAACGATATTTGGGTTCGCGATATCTACAAAACTACGCACACTACCGAAAAACAAATTATATCTCGTGATTCAGGGTCACCAACTTCGACTAAACAGATCATAACCCAAAAATTGTAAAAATAGAATGGAGTTGTTCTTTAAGAAATACTCCCGACAAAGCTAATATACAACCGGAGAGAGAGAGAGAGAGAACAGATAGCATTGAATTCACATTAGTAAAGTGTAGAAACGAGTGAAAGGAGAAGGCTAAACTCTCTCAAGGAAGACACCAGTTCGGACTTTCCAAGCCTTGCACATTCATCTTTAAGCCATGGCAACTGCTTTTAGCTCGAAGAGAAGTTACTGTACTTTGAGATACGTAGGCGAAAGATCTACCACAACAGGCGTTTTCGTAATATCATCGACTTCGACATAGATGCCTCGAAGAGGATCCTGCCCCCTTCAAAAATCGGTGGTGTTACGACAACGGATGTGCTCTGCCAGAACTGCTTCAAACGGTCCGGTGAGCAACTTGCAACTCACGCTTTTAGTGATTTGGGGTCAAGCTCCCCAGCAAGCTTCCTCAAAGAGTGCCAAGTAGTCGCAGACATCAACGCGGATATTTCCGCTGTTGCGATTGAAGTAACTCTTTTGCGCATGCCGTCTAGGGTAAATCTGAAGAGCCGCCAGTCATAGGTTGAAAGAAAGCAGCGGGACATGAAGAATCTCACAGCCGCCAAGTTTGAAAAAGGTTGGTGACCGTGTATGACTCGAAGGCGAGTGGGTCAAGTGCCCGCAGTGATCACACATGTCTCAGCTGTGACGAATGGTGGGGGAGCCTAAGAGAGGCCTTTGTTAAGGCACCATCTTACCAGAAAAGAAGCCAGCTTCTCACGCTTCTGCCTGAAAGTGCAGCCACTAGCGAGGTAGCACGACAAATTTCCAAGCCATCCAGATAAATCCCGAGAAAATCAAAGCAACATCGCCAACGTTTCGCCATATGGGAGCGTCCGGAGCTTTAGCATGGAGCAGGCATAAGTGAGGACATTGTACGGTCGGCCACGCTGTACTACACAGACGACGATCTCCACTGCCCGCAGCAAAGCCCGAACAAAAAAGACGCCGTTAAGATTATGAGAGACGGGGAATCACAGATGATTGTGAAGCATTACGTGACAAGGTCAATCCGAGAGACGTACCGGCTGTTTCGGAAGGCGAATCCAGTCGAAATTAGGACTGACTAAATTCTACCCTCTGCGTCCAAAATGGGTGAAACGAAATCCCGAACAAACCGTTTGTGCATGTGTGTGCTGCACAAACTTTGATTTCTGCACCTCTACCCTGAACAACCTACGGGAAGGAGAAATAGCGAAGGAGGAGATTGTGGCTTTCTGCCTTTGCCCCGAGACTTGGCCCGAATGTTTGTGAGGGGAATGGAAGGCTGAGGGCTTTTTGAGAAAACAATAGACTGAACGGCCGACCACACCGTTGCTTGTCAAGAATCAGGTGTTAGCCAGGGAGGAAAAGAGGGACGACCGTGCGCAGACCCACCAGCCGCGTGCTAGGGACGGAACAGTTGGAATCAGAGGATCGACCTGGCCGGAGGCATTTCTTTCATGGAGGTGCACATTTCGTAGTGAACCACGTGGGTCCTCTTTGCGCGGGGGAGCAGTACACGCCGACCACCGCAAGCTCCGACTTCGGGTCCTTTCTCGGGAGTAGAGGCCGGGAAGTTGTTCAATCGCCTGCTCTTCCGCATCAGTAAAGGCACTACAGAGCCTGCTGCAACGTAACAAGGGAAGGGAAGCCCCTTGCACAACGCTGTCCGCTCGCCACAATTGGCGCTTTCCACCTCTCCCGTCGCCTGCTCTCCAGCATTCGCTTCGGTATAGTGAAAGGGGTTGCGGGCTTTATCGGCGGAGTTCGTTTCGCTATTCTAAACCGACGAGAGACTATAGTAGTCGTCCTCATAAAGTAGAAGCGTATTGACGACTCCGCGTTAGCCGTCACATTGCAGCGGCCACCCCTCTACTGTCGAACTGAGGCAGCCGATTCTCGAGGGCGCACCGACCTCTCGCCGTACGAGCATCCACGATGTCCAATTTGCTCTTTCGTTTCTCAGACATCGACGAGTAAACGCTTGACAGACTCCCAACCCTGCGGACGTCGAGTGTCGTCGATCGCCGGGACCGGGCACCTTGGACCATCATCAAGCAGAAATGGAGCACCCTAAAAAGTGCTCCATTTCTGCTTGATGACGTTCTACATGTGTCACATTGTTCGCGGCTGCGATCCTGGCAGTGTCACAGCAGCGGGGGTAGATGTAGCATTGCGTTCGTTCTCACTTTTTGCCGGGACTCGTAGCACCGACTGCGAGGACCTCCAACACCACGACGCGTCGTCGTTTGTCGCCACTTGAGGACCGACGTATAGGAGGGACGCCAAACGCGCCTGTCGGAGGCGTCGGCTCACCTCTCGCGTGACCCGTCCTCCGGGCTTGCGGTGGACCACCCGGCAGAGGGGCGGACCGGCCGCCGTGGCCACCGGTGCTAGGGTGGTGGTGGCAAGGCGGCGCAGCTGGTCCACCTCCCGCTCCCCGTGGACGTCTTGGTGAACCAGGGCCGCGACCAGCTGGACTGCGGAGAGGACGGGAGGGGCCGATCGAAAAAAGAAACACGCCATCCAGGTCCCGTGAGCGCCGAATGTCGGGAAAAGTGGCGCGTAGAGCGCGGTTCCCTAACGCAGGTCGGCTCGAGAGCCCTCACCACCGGCTAGACGTGAGCGGTCAAGACGCCTGCAGACATTGTTAAGGGGCTGAGAAACGGGAGCTGGCCGCGGGGAAACAAACGAGCCTTTCCTGCCGCACGCAACTGCGTCGTCGGGACGACGCCGAGCCTCCCGCATGATGCCCCACGTTCGGAAGCGGTGGTTGACTGTGGCGGCTTCTCCTTTTCCTGTCTCACCGTTTCTAAGGCTCACGGCCCCTCTGCGTTCGACCTCCGGAAACTGCTCGTGAGGGGTTTGTCCGTTGCCGAGAGATATACCTTTCCTCGTTTTTTTGTTAAGTAGGAGGCACAGCCATCCGGTTGAGGCAAAAAGGGGAGTTGAGGAGGTAACGAAACCCGAGCCCAATAATGCGCTTCTTGCAAAAACCAGTGTTTGTAAAGAAAAAAGGGTTTCACTTCAATGCTTTACGAATGTGAATTGTTTGTTAGTGTTAGCGTTAGTCAGCCAAATTAAAAGAAAAAAACTTGCATCATAGTTTTATTTAACGAGAACTATGTACGGACAAAACAAAAAGATTGAACATTTGAAGAAGGGTAAGGGTAAGTGATGCACTGCTCAGATAAACCCTCGATGTTTGCATGTTTATTCATTCAACTCGGGGAAGTAAGGCGGCTGCAGTCGGGCGTTACACCCATACCAGAGGGACCGCACTGCCTCTTTGGTGGAAACTACAAAAGCATTGGTACTTAACAATAAGGACGCAGAAAATTTGAGCTACAAAAGAAGCGGCTGAATCTCGGGACCACGTCGAAATGAGAATATTAATAGGTCTGCAGAGTTTAGCGTCAATCTTGCAAAAAATGTGACTCTAGTGCTGCACATTTAGCTGGAGCCTCTCAGTTTCCAATAAAAAAAATCACTCGGCAGCAACGGGAACGTAAAAGCAATTGAGCAGTCCCGCATTAACCCACAATCACGGCGATGGCCGCGACAAGTGAAATAGTTGGGCATCGACGTCACGTTCTGAATAAAAGCGTTTGGAACAAAGTAGACATCTCACCATTTTTTCCCGAACGCTTTTGTATCTACTTGTTCCGGAGCGCACGGAAGCGCATCTCCCGACACAAGCTCTTGGCTTTGACAGTGCTAAAACATTTTGTTGTCAGCCATTTTTTTTTTTCAGAGGGCGCACGCAGTGGGCATTGGGTACTACAATATCTCCAAGTATAGAACAAGTTGTTAATGCCGTGGCTTAGCTCTGCGGTAACGCCTCTGCTTTGCACGCAGCGGACCCAGGTTAGATTTCCGCGGGCAGCGGGAAATCTTTTTTGTGGATTTGGCAACATCGACGACGGACACCCTCCAATGCCAGCTACAACATCAATAATGACAACAACAACAACAACAACAACAACAACAACTACTACTACTACTACTACTACCACTACGACAACTACAACATCAGCAACAAACATTTCCAGTGGTGGGAAAAACCCATAACAGTTATTGCTGCAGAATCAACAAAGTGGCCTTGGGAAAAGCAAGGATGCTACTGTATGGGAATCCTTGCATCACCTCTCATGAGACTGGGAATACCAGTTTGAATGCTACAGAAGTTGGTGACAACTACTGGCTTCACCTATCTAACGAGCGGCAAAACAACTGCTGGTGTTCTGTGGCCACGCGCAAATTAATCTGGCAGCATTTCGATGGTTCCTGCAATGCGGGCTCTGTCAGTCGTCGCAGGTACTGCAAGCTTTCTTCCTCCGCTTTAATATTCCGTTCCTTTTCCCTCGATGTGCGGTAGCCCGCTAGAATAATTCTTACTTGCCTTATTTTATTTATTTGTACCCTTGGGGCCCGAAGGTAATACAGAGGGGGCTGGGATGAAACCGTAGAATGAGTAAACAAATCAAGGAAATCATAAAACAGGTCCTAGAGCCCCAGTTTGCTGCAACAGGGTACTAGGAACTGTTTTATACACTTCTTAAAGGGGTTATGACACGCCAAAAATAAAATATTACATAACTATACTGCTAGGACCCATTGTATGTCCCTATAATCCTGCTAAAATTGTTTTGAAAAAGGCGCGATAATTTCGTGGATAAATCGATTTATATGCGGGCCCCTCGGAGGGGCAGATCCGGGCGGACCTGGAGGCTGATGACGTAGCCAGCCTCCAGCGCGGTGTCTCCTTGCACGCACTCACAGACTTGGCTCTCTTGGCGTATCGAGCCTCAGCTTCCTCGTTTACCTTCCACCGTCCTCGTTTCCAGCATCCGGTCTCTGACGATTACGTCTACAACATCGATCGCCTTGTCGAAGTGTTCGACAATGATCGCACCAGCGATGAGAGTAATTGCTATCAAGGGACGTTGGAAGCTGTTCATTTTGACTGCGACCCGCTGGCGACGAGCTCCAGCGACGACGAGTTCGCCGTGGTCACCGTCGTCCGGGAATGTCTCGCAGGCGCATGCAGGCTGGAAGGTCAACTGGCCGGGGGGCGAGAGCGAGAATAGCTTTCAGTTTACCGAGCTGTTTGAGCGGTTTTGTTCGTACTGCGACGAGAAGAGCTTGGGCGATCATGGGGGCGCCTAGAATGAGAGAGTGTTCATGGTCACGTGGTTTATGGACACCATGGTGTGACTAACTTGAGCAGTGTTGCCTGGTCGCCAGATGAAAATTATAAAAATTCGTAAATTGAATATTGCAATTATCAGAGCTCTAAAAATTGCGTAACTTGGTGTATATACTAAGTAGCCTATGAGCATTCCATTTCAAGAATAATCTATCCGTTTAATTTTCGTGTCATAACCCCTTTAAGTTCACACGGAGTACCAGGTATGAATTAAGGTATATGTCTGGCCTGACCTCTTAGGCTTTCCTGCTCTCACTCTCAATTTTACCCGCACTCACTAGCTGGAACTCAGTCAGACAAACAGACAGAGGCAGACATTATCTGTGCTGCACATTAGGCAATCTGGTAAGTATACCTGGCAATATCTAATGTGGAACTCAACTCGCATTGCTGACAATACAACTTTGCATGCCAGCAAGTACTGTCTTCGTTCCGAAGTCAGAGGAAGGTGAAGAGCACTTACTGCAGGCTTTTCTCGAGAGGCACATTAAAGCCCTGTAGACATCTTCAAAGTCCTCATGCATGAGGATCGTGGTGAGGGAGTCAATTACGAGGACAAATGGCTCCTTTTGGCTGGAAAGACGCTCCATCCACGAGTAGAAATCATAACTCCGGGAGGACTGCTCGGTAAAGCCGTCAAGCACATTCACTCTGCGAGCAAAAATGCAAACTAGCTTTAACAATGTCTTCTAATCCGACTTGTTGGGTCAGTTTAAAAACGCAAAGTTGTTCCCCGAAATCTTTCACAGAATTTTTGAGTTCATAGAAGCACGCACCAGGAAGTAATTTCTATTAACATCCACCCAAATTATACGCTGTATTGACAAAGTGACTTTGGCTTTGTACAATGTTTGTTTTTTCCTATTCAGCTGCATGGAAATCAGAAATGTGTGGCATCGACTGAATACATAGATCATTAGAATTAAAGAAAGCCTTGAAGGAGGTTACATACAGAAGGTGTGTTATCCAAGGTAAAAGCCTACAGTGCTCTCACTTTCATACCTGCCAAGTTCGGACAACTCAAATCCGGGAGAATTTCTAAGCAGAGGGAGGCGTTAAAGTTTTTAGAAATAAATATTGATGACAAATCTACATGAAGACAATTTCATTACATTTATATTGCACTGCTCATGCTAGCGAGATACAGCTGGACCTCGCTACCTTTGCAGCCATTCGTTGTGACAACAAAAAGTCAAATTTGGGGGGGTTTTACGTGCCAAACCAATGACGGGCATCTCGCACGCCCCAGCGGAGGACTGAGGATTAATTTGGACCACCTGGGGATCTTTTGACGCGCAACCGAAAGCTCGGTTACACGGCGCCTCCTCCGCAAAAAGCCTCCGTCAGATTGCGGGCACCTCAGCCGGGATTCGAACGCGCCACATAGGGATCCGTAAGCCAGCGCTCTTGCCTTGGAGCCACCGAGGTCGTTGTGACAACAAAAACTCCTCATTTAAGTGTGGGGAGAAGGGGGTCATTCGTGTTTTCCAGGAGATTTTTCTGTCAATCGTACAACCATACAAATTGGTCGAAATTCGAGAGCCTTCCGGGTAATACGAGAGAGTTGTCAGGTATGCATTTGATATCTGATGTGAAACTAAGTTGAACTAATGGCCAGAGTGTTTTCGAAATAACCTTCCGATAGCTCAAGGATGACCCTCATACCTCATGAAGTCTAAAAATCCATAAATTATTCAGCAAAAGAAATAAGTTTGAATGCTGTCATGGCTGATAGCATTCAGCTGAGATGCCTAACTGCCTTCCTCAGCATCACAGCGGAAAGCCAAGCACCTTACTTGTCTTTGACACTGTCTGGAAACGGCCTGAGAAAGTCTTGTGGGTGTTTGTCGAAGCAAAGAACCTGAATGCTGTCACCCCTGAAAGAGAAACAGAACAAAGTATCATCGAATAAATTTAGAGGAAGTCATGCCTACCGTAATATCCCGAGTCATCGCCCATCCCCGAGCCATCGCCCACCCCATTTTTTGGGCCAATATCGATTTCCGAAAAAACACCGAGTCATCGCCCACCCCTTCAAATACCCCAGCGCGGACTCTGCGATCCGCGAACACTCATCCTACCCGAATGACGCGGTCGCGGACCTTACAGTTGGAGGACATCCGTGACAAAGTAAAATGAAGGAGGGAAAGACACTTCTTTTTGTTTACGCATTTCCTCCGTGAGCGACCCCAAAGTGGTCGTGTATCCGTGCGAAAAGAAAACGATGGAGATAACAAAATAAGAGTTTGTTAACGTAACCGCGGAGTGTTAGGTCAAAGTCTGTCTCCGCCGAAGTAAGGTCACCGCGAACCCGTTCCTTCTTCCGCCCGTCGCGACCGCGGTTGTGCAATATTTTAGGCAAAGCCAAAGCGTAAATAAAGCTTTGCTGGAACGTCCTACACAGATGCTGAGCGTCCCAACCGTGCATTGATAGCCCGCCGTGCACGGACGCACGTATGTACGCACCAAACAAGTTGCGCAAGAGCTTGCAATTGACGAGGCGCCCGACTTGGCCCGACGCCAAAGTATTTGCCAACGCGACCGCCGGCTTTCCCGCTTTCCCAGCATTGCTCTTGGTCGCTTCTTTGGTCCGCTCGCTTGTTGCGCCTGGTCGGTTTTTCTATTTTCTTGTAGACTTTTCTTTCTTTTTTTTTTACTAGGCAGGAGAACATAATGGTGACATTCTTTCACGGAACAAACGTTCGTGCTACATGCAGATCGGCGGTGTTTCTAGCGCGTATGCAAGCAACGGACTTCGCTATAGTAAAATATTCTTTCGTGAGCATTTGTTTCTATAAAACAATGAAACTAAATCGAGTTTTGAGTTTGATGTATCTCTTGTGCATCAGCGCTAGATACGCAGAGAAAAATAGGCGGTTTTTTCCGCTTTTTCCAAGTGTTTGTGCTCACCCACCGAGACATGGCCCACCCCACTTTTTTAACGAATTTCAGGCGGTAGGGGGGTGGGCGATGACTCGGGATATTACGGTAATACCCAGCCAAATTTTAGTAAATTATCACTCTCATGATAGAGCAAGTCAAGTCAAGGATAGTTAAACAAATTATGACATCATAAACCAATTGAAGAAATCAGGGCTAAAACGTTGTTGCTCAACCCCTTGGTGAGAGTGCGCATTAAGTTAGTTTGTTAAAATTGGTTCGAAAAAATGTCCTCAACAAGTACAAGATTATGTGACCTCACACTCCACTGGTTCCCAACATTGCATGCACACCAAAACGTTGAGAGCCATGACAATGCAGATTTGGATGGTGATCGCGAATTTACAAGAAGCATACTTTTTCATGCGCATTCCATTTTTAAATCTGTTTACACTCGAGGTCAGTGGTCTCCAACTCGTTTGAGTGTGGAGGGCCAGATAGCCCACACCGAAAAGGTCAAGAGCCAACGTAAGACGGGAAAGGGGGTGGGGAGGGTGTTCAAAAAATTTTAAAGAGAAGAAACCTCATACTCTATGCTTTCGGTAAACTGGCAGCTTTGCCTGCGACTCTCTTAGATTTTATTTTTATATATGACTACTTTGGGTCCTGACCTGATGTGATAACAAGAATTAAAATGACACAGCCCCGCCAACGTGTTGGCATTTTTAATAGAACAAGAGAACAAGTACGCCGTCTTTTCCGTTGCTGAATCCACTCAGGAATTGGCCAAGCTCAACATGCCTCTAAAAAATAATGAGTTAATTTGGCAATCCTTGCTTTCCTGACGATTTTTATTACAACACTCTAAACAAACTTTTGTCTTTTAATGGTGATATTTTTTGAAGGCTAGTTAACACTAAAATACCTACAAGCTGTTTTCGAGACAATTCGGGCGTAAAAAAATTGTATAAGTAAGTGGGTGAACAGAGTGCCATGGAACTTTTCACGAAGGTGTTCTTAGGTGGTGCACGGATCATACTTAAAATCTGCGAGTGTAGAGCTCTGTGAAAAATTGTAAAAAAATAAAAAAATGTTCTTCTTTTCCTTTGAGTTTTCGGAAAATGGAAGCAAACCGTCTGGTTGATGCTGCTACTTACATATGGCACCACATGATGTAAAAACTTTAAATATTCTTAGAGATCAGCACCCTAAAGCAGATTCAGAAAATCCAAGCATGTGTGGTAGCATACACGAGTAGCAGAATCAAACTGACTGTCTCTTTCTGTTTTTCTCCCGCGCATAGGGAAAACAGGCTTTTCTTTTCTTCAGCTTTTTCCCAAAAGCCTACACTAACAAAAGCTTAATACGATAGATGCACCACCTAAAGGCACCTTTGTGAAAGATTTCATGGCACTCTGTTCATTGTTTTATTTACGAGATAATTTTATGAGACCCTGTAGGGCAAAATAGAACTCAGTTTATGTGCCATTTTTCTAGGGGTACTCCGGCATTTTCTTCATAGCTTCCGATTTTCCTGAAACTTTGCTGAACACACCAACAAACATCGCTGAAATAGTAACCCAAATATTGAGCCGAAATTAATATATCTCGCAAAGTTATTGAAATTACAATTTGGTCCTCATTGTGTTTCTCAAACTGAAAGTCTCTACTGGCAACGATGAAAAAGTGACTTCAGGGGAAAGTAGGGGTTCACTCTTTGGGCAGTAGACTTTGTTCCCAACTGACTGCAGGCAGTTTCACGGTGTCAAATAAATGCTTTGGAAGCTCGCTCGAGCACCCGCGCAGCTGCACGATACGAATGCTCCACATAGTCCGTTTTTAGACTACCCCCTTGATTTGCAAGCCTGCCTTCCCCTGACATCACAACACTGAAAAGTGTGAGTATATTTGCATGTTGGTTTTGGCATCATTTTCACTTGCCAATTTCACAATAACTATTCTGAATTTAGCGATACCAAATAGCATACTGGAAAGGGCAAAGACCAGGGATTCCGAAAATATAGTTCGTTGGGGTAGCTCAAAAATCAACAAAGTACCCTATTAAAGGGTGCTCTGAGTGTAGCATCGTTATTTCGGGGAATTTGTGTTAATGTGGCGAAAGAAAACTCTTCGTAGACAATTCGCGAGTGAAACGGGTGCGTATAAGTCCATCACCCTAAGCATTTCTAGCACGGCTTGAACGGCTAAGTTAGGGCGCCATCTAGTGGGAGAGTGCAAAATTATATCAACAGCATCAGGGAACAGCTCTCCCTGTAGGTGCGATCTGGGTGACATGGTCGTAAATATAGAGTTGGTCGTGGATTAAACGAAGCTTCTCAACAACACACAATCATTAACAGCCACGCAGTAGTGCGTGCAAACTGGTAGTGACGTCAAACGGGACCGTTTCGTGGTATCGCTTCGGCCACATATGGGCAATGAGCAACGTTTTCTAGAAACCCAGAACCGAGCGACGCGACGAGCGACAATGAGAAATCTGTCGCTCGTCACCGACTCTCTTCATTTGTCTCCGTTGCACGTTTCGTCGCTCGCCAAATCGGTTCAGCCTCGACTCTCGCATTCTAACACGTTTGACGAGTGCAGTGGAGACAAAGGCAACTAGCTTTAAATCTACCCACTAATCATTCCAATCAGAGCTCAGCGTTCTGACGGACTTGCACGCACTCGTCTCCTCCCTTTTCTCGGCACATAGCATTCCTCTTACTTTTTAGCTGAGTGCAACAAAAAAAGTAGCCAGCTTAGACATCGGCCATAAGCCAACCTTTTCAATGTGCTAACGGGACCAGCAGCCTTTTCAGCGAGGTTCACTGTGCACAGGGGACAAGAGAGTGCTTGATTACCTCGTCACCCAAGATGTGATCAAACACTGTGCGAGGGCACGGCTAGGTTCCTCGAGGCTGTCTGCAATGGCAGGACACAAACATGTCGGCACAGTGAGACGGTGTGGCAAAAACGTGGTACTGTCAATGGTGTTTAGAATTGCCGTTTCTCTCTAATCGTACAGCAACTAGGGGAGTAATAATTCACAAATCATCGATGGATTTATATCCCCGCAACTAAAGAATACTAATACATGCCTTGCAGTGATGGAACATTATCCATTTCACACCACCACGGAAGAGAGAGAGGGGGAAGCTGCTTTTGTACGAATTTTGAGTGACGGGTTAATCTTCTATAACCATCTAGAGGGAGAACAGCGACGTCTGGGCACATCTGGGACCAGGGACGGCGCCAAGGGGAGACGAGGGGTGGCGGGCGCCTCCCCTAAAATTTCTTCTGCCACCCCAAGATGAAGCAGCTTTGTACACAAACGATGGCTTACGACGTCGGCCTCAGGACCCAGTGTAACGAGTGTTCAGACTTTAGACCCGTTCATGCCTTTTATTTTATTTTTCTATTAACTTCCAGTCATTGGAAGTCGTACCGCGGGCAATTAAGCTATCAAGCACTTTAGAAAAAGCAGCGCCCCTTTGTGACGCCTGCTGGCTTTTTTCTCCGTATTCTGCTCTGTGGTGCTTATCTTCAGCGGAGACCGGAGACGTGAACGGAGGCGAGCTTAGTTAAAGTCGAGGTCATGGGGAATTCCGGACTGTCTCAGAAAGGGAAGCAAAACCTGGTTGCGAGTCTGAGCACAGGTGGCAGAGGTCCCTGCTGTGATAACCCCCCCCCCCCCCCCCCAACCCCTCTTCATTCTCGTGTTTCCGCATTTCCCTTTTCAATGAGCACACCGCATAAGCTATCTTCGTTAAGCCCGTGGGCGACAGCACCTCAGAGCAACCTCCCCTCCCCACAATTTGGTTCGCCTCCCGATTGCCCCCCCATTATGAAGATCCTGGCGCCGTCCCTGTCTGGGACACAAAAAAGAGAGCCGCGGTTAGAGGGGAGTTCCTCCTTCCCTTTTTCTCTGGTGGTGGCCGGAGAGTTGACGGAATGACGTCCAATGCAAAGCATGTATACAAAGCGCATCTCGCCCAACTCGCGATATCGGCGAAACTGCTCTCGATGTAGCAAGACAGACTCACCAACGAGACGTCTGAAATTTACTGAGCCGAGCTCCGGCCGCTAATTTAGGAAAACTATTTCACGCGTGCCGAGGAGCCTCGTTTGCAACGAAGAACGGTTAGCGGAAACGTACGAACGTGCCCAACCGAACCCACCTTCAACCAGCAGGAGCCCGGACAAATCCCGGCGTCCGAGAACACACTGCAGCATTTTAAGTATTTCTTCGCTAGGATCAATTATGAATTTGTCGAACCATCGCGACGTCTTCACAGCGTTTACAACGTTTACAAGCACGCGCCTCTCGCAAGTCGCGCAACAGTAAGCAGCCGTGAGCACTGGAGAGCGCCATTTTGTACAGTGTTTAGAGACCTAAAGAATCTCTCCCGCTAAACGACATCTACTAGCAATAACCAGCGCGCATGCACCCTTAGAAAAAGTGTTTTTTTTTTTTCTCCGAAATTATACATGTGAAAATTCAAAACTTAGAAAAAAATTGAAAATTACGGATACCGAAGGTCGGTTTTCCCTGTAAACCTGTAAACAATATGCGAAACTGCGTGGTGGACAGTCTACGGCAACTCATTACAAAAATATGAACTCACTTGGCCCACCCGAAAACGCCGCTTCGCGGCGTCTGACTATTCGCTAAAGTGTCGTTCGATGAAACGTGGGCGTTCGCTAATAGCGAGTTCGTTTCACACGCACTGGCACCGTTCGAGTTCTCTCCCAGAATGCATCGCACTCACAGAGTGTTGCACGGAAAACTGGACTCAAACGAACTCGCCAAATGCACCGCGTGCAGAAGACTGATGTTTCCGCCATCTATGTTGTAGAAAAGGTACCGATTTCAAACCGAAACTAGCGCCTTTCTGTTCAGAGTGATGCGTGGGAATGCGAGAATGCAGTCGGCTACCAATGTTTATCTACAAACTGTGGTCGCTGCAACCTGTAGTTTATAGTTGCGATGACTTCAAGCAGCTCGGCTGCCGTAGAGATAGTTACAGACGGCGTAAATTTTCGCACCCAGTTTTATACAAAGCAGCTGGTTACGATCTTTCAATTCTTATAACCGTTTACACTGAAGAAAACTGATGATGCTGTCCGAGCAGAAGCTTGATCCGTTTGAGCATGGTATTATGCGTGAACCACTGAAAGGGTACGGCTTAAAACTAGCCTGTTGGAATATCCAGCAAAACTGGGACTTTCGATTTGGATTGTCATTATAGGTGGATCAGAAATTAGCCTTGGTGAGGGCGTCAAGAACGAGAGCTTTCTCGAACAAAATACGACGGGGCAAGTTAGCTGACGTAGGTAAATGTTAAACATGATGATGTTGCCCAATCCTCGGGTAAAGTTACCATCTTTAGCTTTCTCTGATGCTTATTGGGCAGACAGAGGTTTCTGCTGGGGGAGTGTTGCCGACAAATATTAAATTTTCCACCCGCACACGGATGATGATAGACATCTCGGGGGCCGCTGTTACGTTTGTTCTGAGCATTTCTTTACACACTGGTATATTTCAGCGTTTGTACGGCAACAGAGCGATTTAAAACCTGCAAATAAATCACGGGTTGTCAATTGCTTCCTTCGGGAAATAGCAGACGCTCACAATTCAAGCTCGCGTTTGATTTCGTGGCCCGCGGGACGCGATTTCTATCAGAAAATCTACTTTTTGTTCCGTTCGGTTCCGCGACACATCGTAGCAGACGAACCCTCGTCGCCTGCTCTCGCTCCTCGCCGGCCCCACCGGAGCGAGGCATGACGGGATTGCATTTTGGCGCACTCCCGATTTTCTCGGTGCAGCGAGTGCATGCACGCGTGGGGTATCAGCGCTGAAACGAACTCGGAGAGTGCAACCACTCGTGGAGTGCCGGCCGAAACGAACCCGTTCCACGCTGCGAGTGGGCACGCGTGGGCACGAGTGCCGTGAAACGAACTCGCTATATAACGTCATTCGATCAAGTGAGTGCCTCCCCCGGCGGAAGGGGGGCTCTTTCTGCGATGACCGGATCGGTGGCCGCGAGAGGGCGCGACGTGTAGTAGGCGTGCTGCCGGAGTGCGGAGCGCAGGCAGCGGTAGCGCTTGGCTGCAGTGTTGCCAGGTCTACTGATTTATCTGTAGATCTACTGATTTCGTTCCGGGTCTACTGATTCACTGAAAAAAAAGAAAATCTACTGACATTTTTTTAGTAAACATATTAAAAATGTATTATTTGGACCCTTCAGTTCCCAGAGTCGCCCATCAAAGGAAACTCATATACTCCCAGGATTAAAAAGGAAGCACTGGCTAGACGGCCCAGAAGCCCGTCCTATTCGAGTGACTTAGGCGTATATCAGAGCCGTATACGTAGAGAGTTTGGTCAACGGGAGGTGCGGGCAGAGCCAGGGCGTGCGGCAGACTCGGAAAGAGGGCTTGGCATGCTCTCTTGACCAACTAGAAGCCGAAAAGAATCCCCTAGCGGTGGTAGCGAGAAACAGTTCTGATCGAAGGTCTATGTTCGTATATGGTTTTAATAAGTGCGTAAGAGTGAAGTGTAATAACTCTTTGTGGTTTAAAATAGGGTGCACGTGTTGTTTTGATCATGATCATGCAGAAAGATGTAAGAAACGAATGCGCCGCTCAACTCTGTTTTGCGCGGGCAGAGTGTGACCGCTCGGACGGCAGATTCCCAGCCCTCGGCGTTTGGCGTACGGATTATGTCGATCGTTCCGCTAGTCGCACTCTTCCACCATCATTTTTGATGAGCGTGATTGAAATATCACGTGTACCATATTTTCAGCCATCGAGAGTTACTCCAATGCAGTTATCAGGTATGTTTCTCGAGACCACCGCCAGGGTATTATTTCCGGCTTCTGGTTGGTCACATTCGAATTTCTGAAGACGCCCTGGAACACGCCCAGCCCGCTTTCGGCCAATGGCGCCTCCTCATTTGTCTCCTATACTTCTCAACGAATGGCCAAACCCTCTACGTATACGGCTCTGGCGTATATTCATCTATCTATTCACCCAGAGAAAGTTCGGCAGGTTGGCAGGTTCGACGGTGACATCTGGAGAGTTTGGCCAGTCTATGATCTCGCCCCCTTCCCGAGTGAGCCATTCAGCACGCGGCGCAGAGAGAGAGGCGTGAGCGCATGCGCATGACTTCCCGGCTGCTCCCAGCTGAGCGGAGAGGGCCCCCATTTTCATTCATTCGCCCGGCGGAATGCATGGGATCGACATCCAAATTTCGGTTCTTTACTTTTATTTGGGAGGCTCTCGCAAGAAAATGATACAATGTAATTCCTCGGTGGCTTAAAAAGCTAACGAATTAAGTTTCTCCCCGTTTAAACGCAAACTTTGAATCAAGCAAAAGAAGAAAAAAAGCCCGTACAGATGACGCGCAGCCTTAACAGTGCTCCGCGCCGACAGCGTTGCTTCAAAAACATTCCACAGCCCAGTAAGGAAAGATGGCAGCTTGCAGAGGACTTACATTGGACATGTACGTGTGCGCTTGCCGGAATGTCTTGTTTTGGTTTCGTTTCAATAATGGCGACATGTGGATGTCGCACTGTCGCCTTCATCTGTTGATCCCAAAAATGGCTCAGTCTCGATTTCAAAGAATAATCCTAGAAATAGCCAACACTAATCAATAATGATAAAAAAAAAGAAGAAAAAAACTTTACGGTGCCATTTTAATTTGCCTTCCATAAAGAATTACTCGAGAACTGGTCTCTTTTTTTTTCATTTTTATTTGTGTTTATTACTCTGTACTATTTCTTCGAAGTGTGGATTAATGGAAATAGCGAAACATGGCAAAACACAGATTTCGTTGAATCTATTGATTTTTGTGCAAATCTACTGACTTTTCGGGGATCAATCTGCTGACTTTTTCTTTTCTCCATCCGGCAACACTGCTTGGCTGGCTTGGCGTTCCTCACGAGTTCGATTGTTTCGTATTGTTTGGCTAACTCTTTACGGTATTCTTTATTTCTGCTGTTTCACATATTATTTATCGCACTAATTCGTTGCCAAATGCTTTGCCCGAGACGTGCATCTTCGGGCAGGACGCCACAGTACACATCCCGACACTGCTAGCGCGAGCAAGACATTGGCGCTTTCTCGGATTTACTTCGAAAGAGTATTAGTGAGGATGAACTTTTATCACCTGCATTAGAGACCCGAATGAACTTTCTCCCCAGCAATTAGAACTTTGCTGACATACTTTGGTTTCTCATAGAAAAACCGGCAATCGCTTTTTTGCGCTAACAATGTTGCGTTCTGAATAGGCAGGAAATCCATCCCCCAGGAAAACGTTCGGGAAGTCTCTTGAAAGAGACGTCCCAAACGTGTGTAATCCCCTGGATAACGTAGGATAAGCATGCTGATGGCATGATACCTAAACAAATATGTGCTTTTGTGACCCTATAATTTCGCTGTCACTGTAGTTGTGATCAATGAATTCCGTGGTTGAAGCGCACTACCCTAATGAATGGTTCCAGCGTTTGGGAAAACAAAATGGGGATTACAAAACGTATTATAACGTCTACTTCCGTAGGCTGCATGGAGGTGCTACTTTCGACTCTCGCAACTACTTCCACGGGCTTTCGAAGGAATTTCCAGCACTAGCCTTTATCGTGTTTGCTGTTACTGCGTAGGGTCTTCAATCAGGACTGTGCGAAGTTAGAAAAATAATAATAATAATAATAATAATAATAATAATAATTCCTTTATTTTTCCAACAAAAAGTTGAAAGGCGACTAAGGAAAAAAGCTGTAGAAACAGCTTGACTGGCCCTTAGCCACCCCAAACAAGCAGTCGCAAAGCAGGCGCCAAGGAATTATACAATGAAACTTTTCAAATTCATAAACAAAAATGAAAAATCATTACACAAAAGAAACAGCGAATGTATCCACTCAACCATCTCTGGTAGTAACCACAGTGGATAAATTCTTATTTATCCACTGAGCGCCAGCTATATGATATGTGTGGGCACCAGGGCGCACATATAAATTTTTAATTATACACTGGGCACCAGCGCACTGTGAGATTAATGAGGTGCACCCAAGGATTCCGGAGGCGACGGTATTTTCCCAAGAGCTCGGGAGAGGGGGGCTCCCGAGCTCCCCCGTAGTCGGCGCCTGTGGCGTTTTGTACCTCTACATCAGGGGTCTCAAACTCATTCGAGTGTGGGGCCCAGATTGCTCTCCCCCGAAAGGGCAAGGGGCCAACGCAGAACCCCCCCCCCCCCCCCCCCCCCCCCCTCTTCGTTGGCTCCCGTTTTTTCGGGGCAATGTTTTGCTATTCTGTAATAAAAATATAAACAAACAATCAGCGGTGTTGTTTCACGCTGCAAACGTCA